AGATAATCAATTTAAATTAGTCAGAAATATTTTGAGTGCGTTAATGACGTCATCATTTTTGGGTAAGTTCAATTTAGATTTATTTGAAAGTTCACTAGTATTTCACGTTTCTAGCGCAGTATTTCTTTTACTTTCTGGGTCAACGGGGCTCTCTGCAAACGGATGCTACAGATATAGAACAGTTAGTCTCGTTTTAAAATATTCTGCTGCTTAAATTATTGATACTTTGAAGACAAGGGGCCTCTCAGCTCGCTCTTATTGTTCGTGTGACTAGAATATTAAGGATTTGGATACTTACATTACACAAAATGCGTGTATATACCGACTAAGCTATAGGACCATAGAATTAGTGGATTGTAAAAGATTAATTATTATTATAATTAGACAAATATTATATTATATATATATTTAGAATTTGCGTATATTAACGTAATACTATATTTTAATCAAAAGGATGTTCAGTTTTTTTTAAATTTTTGGATTCTATAAAAAATTACAGGAAATTAATGATTTATTAAATTACTAGCGACCCGCCCTCGCTTCGCTTCGGAAACTGTAATTTATTATTGATTTCTTCATTATTTAATGGATGTTATTATACATATAAACCTTCCTATTTATCACTCTATCTATTAAAAAAAACGCATCAAAACCCGTTGCGTAGTTTTAAAGATTTAAGCATACCTACGTAGGGATATAGGGACTGTGAAAGCGACTTTGTTTTATACTATGTAGTGATTATTAAATTATATTGTTTCCAACCATTTTTTTTTATTTCTTTTGTTATTAAATCTAAGCTATACTTTATCACAAAATTAAATTAAGTTAGGTTTTTTTTTTCTAAGACAAGTTTTCAATGCTTAGGTAGAATAACGAATAATGATGTTATAAAAAAAACTTTAAGAGCCCACCCCAAATAGTAACAGAGTATCGAGATTAAGTAAAATTAATTCACTTTTCGAATATCGAATTTAATTTGCAGTTACGATTATTATTTTTAGCGTCGCGGCAGTTTAGTTGCTCTCAGCACTAAGTATCGTATTTAATTTGCAGTTGCGATTTTTTTTTTCGCGTCGCGGCAGTTAAGTTGCTCCCCACTTGTTGAGGGTGCAACCCGGGATCCACTGACGACGTTCGCGCGCTCGGCGGAGCGTGAGCGACTGCGCCACCCGCCCATTCATTGAACAAACCCGCTTTAACCCCGTGCTCTCGATTCGATCTCGATTCACATTCATTTTTAATTCAGAAACCACGGGATAGTATTACCGTTAATTACCGTTAAAACTAGTAACTAAAATAAATAATTAGTAATGAATTTCGTGAAGCTTAATTCTGTGATTTTAAATACTTGATCAAGGTATATTCAATTATTATGTGTTCAAAGATGAACTATGTTATTGTCGTAGCAAGGTAACAATCTATCGTGTCTCCTCAAAATTTATGTTTGTAACATTGGTATTAAATACACAATAAGTTGAAAAGTTCATTGTTTTTAATCTTATAACGTTGCCAGACTATGTACCAATTCATGGCCCTAACATTTTTTACAATCAATTTCGGTTTTAAACTCGAGATCATCAATGGGCCAATATCTAAAAAATAGCTTTTGGTGACGTAGAAAAAGATACATTTTGAACCAATTTGCTATGGTAATTAAGTTGTTATAGTCTTTAAATTATTGGAAACACCCACAGATTTTCGTAGCTTACGCTGAAATAGTATCCACCCACGCTAAACAAATGTATGTATAGGAAAGTAATTTGCATGAAATATTTATAAGTATGGATATGAAATTTGTTATATGTATTAGGAATTATTGGACAAATAATTGTTTGATGCGGGATGATTTTCGGATGTGTTGAATTTTAAATATATTCGAAGTTTAAATCATAAAATTAAATTATGTTCATTTCATAAGAGGCACGCGTATTTTTTTTGCGTGGCTTCCACTGTCTCTGTCAGTTGCTCGAAAATTTGTTTATTTATCACAAACATATCACAAATAAGTAAGAAAAATATTGCTACTGCCCTTGTCATAAATGTCTGCTATGTCATAAAATTTAAAGATTTTAATGAAAAGAATTTGTCAATTAAATAAGGTGATATTATCGTATAGTAATTTTTCCAATAGTAATGCCAGAAAAAAAAAACAGTTTTTGTAAAATTTGTAAATGAAAACAAAAAGTAATTGCTTTGAATATTTATGAGCGTTGAAATGTGATTTTAAATCACGTAGTTTCTTACGTATAGTTTAAAAGTAAACGGTGTATGTGGGTGTATTTAATAAGCTGCTAATATACGACTGTAGAGGAGAAAAGAACTTTTGCGTAGGTCTGGGTAAGCCCACGCCTTGTTTATATACACATTGTTATTACTATATTTAATTTTCAGTACGCAATATGAAAGTTTCCCTTTCTTCATTTTTGTTTGGAGATTTCAAACAATAAACTTTGAAAATCTTTTTTGAAAACATTTAAAATTAGAATACAATTAGAATTTATGTTACGTTACTTTTAATATACTGGTAGTAGGGCGTATTGTATGCTAAAACGGGTAGGTATCATTAGTTGAATGGTAAAACAATAATGCATTCAGGTTTGAATAGTAGGACAACCCTAATAATAAAGTTGGGATTTCGATCTTAAGCCTAAAGTTGGTGTTGAAAAATATTATAAGCCACTGTTCGAGGTTTTTTTTTAAATTTAATTAAATAAATTAATGTTATAATTCTTGATGGTATTTCGAAGTGTTTGACAATCAGTATTATACATACAGATGTATAAGATTTGTAATTACAGTTCTCAACCTGCATTTCTTTGTTTATGATAAAAATATTTTTATAATAGAATTAAGATTACTCATAAAACAGTATTCAAGCTTTTATTTTGCTTTGTGGCAAATGCGTAAGCCGCGCGAGCCAAAATCAAAAAGAAGAAGAAGACAAGTAGAATGTCGACTTTCTTGATACTTTGATATCAATACTTTGGATTAATACGTTAAAGACGTTATAGATATATGTATTAGTGTAGTTATATATAGAGGGGCAGTCAGTCGTATAAAATATTTTATTTTAACGGACGTATATTATAAACTTGTATGGCTATTGTGATATATTGTATTGTGAATATGTTTTTTTGTTTATTAAGTGGGTGTATTAACGAGCTCACGGCCTAAATGATGTAAATTGGTAATATTATCAATGTCAACCCACCTTGGGACATCAGGTCGAAGTATAAATTTAATGAAAGGCCTCCTTTCTTCAGTGTGTGCGTATCGGTTCTAGTAAATTTATTATAAATGCAAGTGATATCCAGGTAGCAGGTAAATAAGCACGGTTACGAGACATCTTTGACATGCTCTGAGCTTGAAATAGGAACATCAAGTAATAGCAGAATGCTAATTGTCTTATTTTGTCTCTATCTATTCACCGGTAGCCTTTTTTTATTGCTTAAGTGTGTTCACAGCCCACCTGGTGTTAAGAGGTTACTGGAGCCCATAGACATCTACAACGTAAAATTGCCACCCACCTTGAGATATGTTCTAAGGTCTCAGTAGGTATAGTTATAACGGCTGCGCCACCCTTCAAACCGAAACGCATTACTGCTTCATGGCAGAAATAGGCGGGGTGGTGGTACCTACCCGTGCGGACTCACAATAAGTCCTACTACCAGTATCAGAGGTCCTAGCCCCAGTAAAATACCAGTAAACACCTAAGGGGCTATTCCAGCTACGCCCGAACGTGTAGGTGAGCTCACGGACTCAACCTGAGAGAGTTTGTTAACACTAGCTCTAGAAAGAGTAGTGCTTCGCATAATGTACCATCGGATCGGAATCGCAATATACCAAGAAGATCCGGCCAGAAACTCAGTGGGGCTAATTATCATTAAAGACACTTTGCGTACATGCGTGTAACTTCAAAATGTTTCTTAGGATGCAAGAATTGTTACTGCTGCTACCAGCTGACATTTGTCCTGGTGAAACTGGAGAGGCATCCGGGCTACCAGTAATTCCTCTCTCCAAAAGAAAAATAGAAGAAGATTGGGCATGATACTCAACATGTTGATTATATTCTTGAGTAAGTTCGAGTATAATGTGAGCTGTGCTTTGTCTGTTGCTACCAGTAGCCTCCAAAGTAAATAGATAAAAAATATTGTAGATACACACACTATGGACCAATTTTGAGAAAGGTTGGGGTGGCTTGAGTAGACTGGAATCGTAAAGCCGTAATTTATATTTTCCGAAAAGACTCTTATCATCATATAAGAACTAGCCTAAACAAACAGTTAATCGGATTGAACGACGCAAAGTTATTTTGTAAGTATTAGCAATATGAATGAAATGAAAACTAATAAATTTTATTAGCTATTTATTTAAAGCCATGTCAACTTACGAAGTAACGTATAAACTTATAAAGTTACGTTGGTAGAGTAAGTTTAATTAGAAAGACATGAATAAAGTAAAAACCTAAGTTTTTTAGTTGAGGCAATAACATAGCACACTGAATACCGTGGCAACTTAATGGATCTCTGTATAGAGGAACCATTAATTTTATTCTTGGGGAAAACATGACACCGCACAAACCCTTCCACACCCATTCCCTAATAACATAATGAAATCAAACGATGCTCGTTGATTTTGTTACAAGTCCCTTAGCCGAAAATAAATCGGATTGTAACAAAAGTACCCTAATCTATGTTGAGCTTCAATCCTTTCTAGTAGGTAAGTAATAAACATTACGGCAACATTTCTTTCTTCAAAGGCGTTTAATTTGTAAGCGTATTCGTTAAAAACATTTTTAAATATAACGTTAAATCTTTACCGCGCCATATTTTATTTACCAGAATCATTAACAAAAAAATTCATTACAATTAAGTATATGCGTATTATCATTGTCTTGAGCAGGAAGGAATTTAAAACACAGCCTTGTAAATTTAATATTTGGTTTCATGGCAATGGATATCCTCAAATTAAAAAGCGCCTATTTTTAATAAATACAACTTTATTTCACTTAAATTACCATAAATAAATAATCTAACATTACAATTAAAGTTTAAACGGAAGTATTTGACCATGTTTGTTTTATCATATCAGCGGCTTTTTCAGCAATCATTATTGTAGGTACAGTACTGTGTGCACAAATTGGTTTCGGAATTATACTTGCGTCGACCACTCTAAGACCTTCAATGCCGTACACTCTTAGCTCTGGATCCACAACCGCATAAGAATCGCTAGGTGGACCCATCTTGCATGTTCCTACTTGGTGATGTAAAGATATAACCATGGTTCTGATAGCACATTCCCAATACGGATCTGAGCCAGGCGTATGTTCAGAGCATGATGGATAATCCGCCAGAAACAGACTTGCTCCATACTTTTTAAAAGGCTCCGATTCTCCCAATTTTATTACGTATTTTATAGCTTCCAATAAAGTATCCATGTCTTGACGGTCTTTTAAATAATTTCCGTATAATTTTGGAAAAGAATAAGGACTTGTGTCTCTTAATTCCAGATAACCTGTAGATTTTGGTTGTAAAAGCATTGGAATTGCTGACCACGTGTCCATACCGTTCAAAGAACTGAATGATTTTACGTATGTTTTATCGGAGATTCGCCAGCTTTTTCTGAAAGCTCCACCTCCATCTACATTGATCGATGTTCCCATGCTTATTAACTCGACATCCGGAACTTGTTCTGGATCCTTTGAAACGGAAGTTTTAATATAACCTAAGGCTTCTATCATTCCAGGAGAAGTTAATAGTCCATCCCCGAATTGAAGCCATTGCATTAAATTTGGCAACGTCGCTACCTTAGGTTCTAAAAGACTAGCATTGCTGGTATTCAATTTGAAAATAACGCCAGGGAAAGCTATATGGTCATAAAGTGATCTTCCAACTTGTAAATTTGCCAATACAGGTATCCCCAGAGTTTGTAAATGTTCTTGAGGCCCAATACCTGAGAGCATTAGTAACTGCGGAGAAGCTATGGGGCCAGCAGCCAAAATTACTTCTCTGCGGCAACGAACAGTGTACTTAGCGCCATTTTTGAAGTATTCAACGGCATAGGCCCGTTTAGTAAGTGGTTCGATAATCACTTTGCCAGCTCTAGCTTCAGTTAAGATGTGTAAATTCTTTCTCCTCTTATGGGGATGTAGAAATGCTTTGGCGGTACTCAATCGGTGGCCCTTGGTAGTAGTTGTTTGTACATAACCAAAACCTAATTCATCTGGGGAGTTGTTATTGTAATCAACCGTGGGATGACCAAAGTTTCTTCCGGCTTGCAGAAATGCTTCAACTAAACCGGTTCTGGAAAACAATACAGAAGTGATTAAATTATTCCGAAGCAGCGAACTTTGACTTAATGGTAGTTTTATAGTTAAAAACTTAATAGTTTAAAACTTACTTAAACGGAACATTTTCGACTGTAAGCTCGCCATCTCGTCCTCTATAAGAAGCGTTCTTGTATTTTCTTAACTCTGACCTTTCAGATTTCATGAAATATTTTAGAACTTCGTCATGGGTCCTGATTAAAAAAGTTCAAAAGTCAAAGTTAAAAAGGGTTCTCAGATAGTGACACATAACATCATAATGAAAAATAATTGAATTTGATGATATTAAATTATGAGATTAAAATATGCATATTCTAGGACACGAATTCTAATCCTTATTTTAATAGATATCATAACGGTTCTCAATCGTTTCAAACCAGACTATATTACTGCTTCCCAGATTTCTCAGCAGCAATAGGTAGGGTACCCACCTGAGCAGGGGTAAGGTTGCGTATTTTAGTTTAAAAAAAATTGTAGTTAATTTTCAGTGATGCTTACCATCCGTAATTGCCATCGGCTGCGATTCTATCCCAGTCTTGTGGTCGCCCTCGAGTGTATAACATGAAATCAGTGACACTACTTCCGCCTAAAGCTTTTCCTCTCGGCCAGTAGCAGCGTTGTTCATCGCTACCTGAAATATATTTTTGATTAAATGTAGATTATTCATGCTTTCGAGCCATTCTGGATGGCATCAAAATTTTCATGCAATAAGTCATAGATCCAAAACTGAAATTCTACCACCACGTTGACAGATAATTCTGAAGTTTATTTTGTATGCTTTATGTATTACCAGCTGGGTTTGTTTACGGATTTGTTAAGTTTGTTTTTGCTCTAAATTTGTTGTTTGGCTCCCGGCTTAATAGACTTAAAGTAATACTAAAGTTGATAGATACAACAACGTGGATGCCACTACACGCCAAAAAAGATGAGATCGAAGTGTTGCCAATATTGTAAAGCGGTTTTTCCGTCCTTCGAACCGGAATATTAATCTACTTCACGTCAGAAACAGGCAAGATGGTGGCTGGTATGTACTTATGAAAACTAAGATTAATTAAATTTTCATTATCATGTCAAAATAATCTGTATTCGTTTGTAAATAAACATTTTTTTACCTAAGCAAACACCGGATTGGTGCTCCATAGTGTACGGCCACGCGTAATCGGTGAGCTGAAGATACCGCGCTAATGCAGGTATGTCAGATATAAGCATCTCTGGTTTACCAGCTTCGATCACTAATACAGTCGCCTTAGGTTTGTCCTCTGTAAGGCGGGAAGCTAAAACAGACCCCGACGTTCCTCCTCCGACTATGATATAATCATACTCTTCAAGTGGTGATGTATGTCCTGTAAAATTTAAAGATTATTAAGTATCACTCGATGAACATTCAAATCAAAAGATGAAACGTTGTAACATGTTATTAAATATAATATATATTTTCTTTTATTGCTTAGATGGGCGGATGAGCTCACAGCTCATCCGGTGTTAAGTGGTTACTGGAGCCCATAGACATCTACAACGTAAATGCGCCACCCACCTTGGGATATAAGTTCTAAAGTCTCAGTATAGTTACAACGGCTGCCCCGCCCTTCAAACCGAAACGCATTACTGCTTCACGGCAGAAATAGGCAGGGTGGTGGTACCTACCCGTGCGGACTCACAAGAGGTCTTACCACCAGTAGTCAAGGAACTATTTATAGTTTTATCAATAGTGACAAGATTTAATCTTATATTAGCTGAATGTACCGTTCATTTTTAGATAATTAAATTTTACTGAGCTACACTTGTTGTGCTTTAGATCAAATATTAACTTTCTATTTTTATTTTCTAAAACGCTCTGGTAACCCGCAGTGAACCGAGAACATGTTTTCGTTTGACCCTAGGAGATTATCATAAATTAACATTTATGAGGTATTAATAAAGGCAGTAACATACTATTAATACAACCTTAAATTTAAGTAGCAAAAACAGAGTTGACAGGCATAAATGATTTTTTTTTATTGCTTAGATGGGTGGACGAGCTCACAGCCCACATGGTGTTTAAGTAGTTACTGGAGTCCATAGACATCCACAACATAAATGCGCCACCCACCTTGAGATATGAATTCTAAGGTCTCAAGTATAGTTACAACTGCTGCCCCACCCTTCAAACCGAAACGAATTACTGCTTCACGGCAGAAATAGGCAGGGTGGTGGTATCTACCCGCGCGGACACACAAGAGGTCCTACCACCAGTAATTACGCAAATTATTCCTTTACCGTGGAAGTCAATCGTGAACATTTTTTGAGTACGAATTTCATTACAAAAATTCATGCTTGTTTCATTATGTTCATATTTCGTCAAACGGCTGTTTGAAGAGAGGGTAAGTTCATCACTACCGGTCACACACACTCACACAAAGCCTCGACCTCTCGCGTCTCTCGTTTTAATTGTGCCGTATTAAAAACGATATTAAAATATATTCGTCTTAATCACAGGATAAAAAAGAAAAGGAGGAGAATTAAAGATACTTATATTCAAAAATCAGCTGGGCCCAAACTATGGTTTCAAAAAGAAGTGAACGCTTTTCGGAATGAAACGGAATCCGGAGTCATAAAGTTTCCAGATAATAATAATTATCTTTCTGTTTGTAAAAATGTACATTTCAAACAACAGTAGAATGTGGAACGCTGAATTTAAATCGACTGAACTTGTAGCAGTAGCTATAACAGAAGAGAACATGAAATAACAGACATGAATTTGAATAGCACTAACATTACCAAGATATCTTTGCACAGATATTAATTCCACAAAAAATATTATTTCATTCCGTCGGCACATTAAGCAATAAATACCGCTGGATGGAAGATATGAAATTCCCTTTATTAAATGGTTTCTCTAAAAATTTACTACGTAACTATATGTAAAATTATTCATAGTAACTAGTCAATGTAATATTTATAATTTATCCATTTACCCACGTGTTCTCGTTAGCATTAACCATATCCAGTAATCATGACTAATTTCAAATGATCGCGTTATAAACAATTTGTATGGAAACGTTTGAATCGTACGACGCTTGGTATATTTGCATCCAATGATGCGATCACGCCAGAGCAAAAAACATGCGGAAAGGTAAAAATGTTTCGCAGCTAATGGGTACCCAATATTTTCTCATGAAAGACTACCACGATAACATAGTGTAGTATAAATAAAATTCACGAATTACTGGCCGTATTGTGAGCCCACACTGGATACAATCGCTTATCTTTTTTTTTTATTGCCCTTGTAGGCAGACGAGTATACGGCCCACCTGATGGTGAGTGGTTACCGTCGCCTATGGACTTCAGCAATGCCAGGGGCAGAGCCAAGTCGATGCCTTATCTTACTTATTTCTGCAATAAAGCAGTCATGCTTCCCGGCAAGGAGGATCCTAAACTTGTTTTACAATATAATTAAAACTTCGATCTCAAAATGGTAGGATTGACTTTTTAATGCCCATGAGCTGTGGTAATCACCTAACATCAAGTAGGCTACGGGTGCGTCTGCCCAGCACAATGAAAGCGCGCCAATTCCAAACACCTTTTGCTCATTACCTTAAATGAGATTAACAATGGGAAAAAATCCTCACTTCAAACGCAAATGAACTTTTTTTTCCTACTTATGCTGATAACGTTGAGAGGCTATATCAGCTTCGCGATTGAACAAAAGCGTGTTGATGAATTGGTTAGGTTCGCTCATCCATAGATAAATCATCTGTATTCCGTTATGGTATTGGTATGCGAGCCTGTACTTTACTGGGAACGCAGAATTAAATGTATTCATAAGTGTCTGTAGATAACTCATATTGACTTTAAGCGAATCGATATTTTATAATGCTTGAATTTAGTATGTATGAGATTCTTGAGTGTTCAATCGTAGTTGGCTTTGGTAGTAAATTCTAAAGCATTATTTTGAAGTCATTAGTTCTAGATATTTTAGTTTCCATTCATAATTTTTATTAGAAGTTTTGTAGAAGAACATTAAGAAAATGAGAATATTATGAGCTTGTGTCTGTTGATGTTTATTCTATATAATTATTAAATTTTATGAGTTAGACAATTCTGAAATCGAATTTGAATTGAAAACCGCATTCGAATTTGATCAGTCAAAGTAGAGCAGCAAAGTAGCATTGTATAAACACCTATGCAAATTGTCAAAATTCTATGTCTACGATTTATACGAATAAATTACGTATACCTTGTTGCCAAAAACAAAAATTCCTGACAGCATCCTGATAGCATTAAAAATTAATACTGTTTTGTATTTTACTAATATTTGGACTCTGTATATGTAGATGTGCTTTTTTAATAACATGAAGCTAATTCGGACTTTATTAATAAACTAGCCGTACTCGCCCGCTTCGCTGCGCATTTAAAATTAACATTATTATTTATTGTCATTATTACTAGGGAGTCCAACGCTCATATAAATTATTAGCCTATCCATTAAGTACATGTATTTCCTACATGGATACCAAGTTTCAAGTCAATCGGATGCATGGTTCACTAGTTATAACGGAACATCCGTAAAAACCACTATAGATTTATATATTAGTAAAGATGTTCTTGAAAAAATGAATAAAAATGTATTTAAAATTTAAATGCAGAGAGTTTTTTGATAATTTAAGCACATCATATTTTATTGAACTTTCGAAATTCCTGGCCTGCTTTCCGAAAACTAAAAAAATACGCTCTACTTCAAATACAATAATCCAGTACTTATTTATTATTATTACCAGCATTTATTTTTTGTTAAGAGACTCGGTTATCATTTTTCTGACTAATTCATTAACGCTGTGTGAGAATTAATTTGTTAAAGATTTATATCACTCAGTTTGGTATATGAATAGAAGCAGTATTGTTAGAGAAGACCTTGTGACATGGATCCTTTCAGTGATAACATTACAAAGTGGGAAGTTTGCTTCCGTCCGTGAAGATATTAAAAGATAACCTTGTTTTCAATACAATGTTACCCTTTTAAGCTCATCTGAAGCTGATTGGAGTACTTAACAGCGTAAGATCAAATGGTATTATGAAGAATAGTGAAGACTCTTCTTTACACTTCTTCACTTATTGTAGCTTATGTGGCAATGTCGCCGTGGCCGGATAGGAAACCAATTTAGTCCGGTATTTGGACACATGTTCATGTTTGGGGTCATTTCAGAACCGATGTACCTATAAGTTCCGCAATTGTTTGAGTTTGTTTAGAAGAAGGTTCAATGAAATACACGATAGTGTAGTCATGAAGAAAAGAGTCTTGGTGAGAGGAATTTTGGATAATGTTGGTATAATGTTGACTAGGTCTCTATTTTTGATAATTTGATAATCTATTGGGACATTGTTGTAGAGAATAGACTTAAAAGAGCCAAAATCAAGTTAATTGAACCTGTATCTGTCATGATTATTCTTCCTATTCGTACACTCTTGACACGTGGTCAGTCGGATCCTGCGATACTGATGCTCTCGCGATGTGATGCCATGTGGCACGGTGTTTGGTAGAGTGAAAGCATTTATGTTGCAGCGGGTCACAGATTTAATGAGGTTGGTCCATCGTGTTAGAGATCGTCCGCGAGATCTTTTGCCCTCGACTTTCCCATGAATGTCATGTCACGTCATGATATAGCAAATATTAATAGTATGATGCACTTGAAATTTAAATTTCTTGGTTTTTTGGATCTTACTGATTTTTTCGAAACCATATCGAACAACAACAAAAATTTAGTGTATAATATACATTTGAAGGATTAAAAAAATAAAAATTTTAATCTAACTATAACTTTATACCAATAGTCAGTAAATAAGGCGTCCAACTAAACTTTAGGGCTAAATCGTAACAAAAATCTCAACTCAATAATGCGTGAATAAGTGTTTGTGATACATTTGTAAGGAAATAATGTAATCGAAGTAGCAAAACTGATTCGAAAGACGAGTATTTAGAATTTTCGAAATATCATGTTATCGTTGACTTGATGTGATTAGGCATGACTTTCTTTTTGGTTTGAATATTTTTTTGAGTATTATCTCTTCATATTATAAGTGGAGTTCTTTTTATAATTTTAAAGAAAACGCTTTTCAGTTTTCGATTATAACAAAAAAAGAATTTTCCGGGATTCCCACCGGGTCAGATAAATGGGATCTGCACAGGCAAGACGGTCTCAGGCTTAAATAATATAATATTGTACGCTTACCTTTAGGCAGAGGATACGAATCTCGTAAAAAGTCGAAAGGATCGTGTGAATTCTTGGGTGAATAGTTGTTGGTCGCCATCGTTTGCATTATCATGTCAACTAAAGGGCTCTGAGGATACGACCACAATAGAAAACGTTTTTGTCGTTCAGTTAGTTTTGATCCTTCACTAGTAGGGTTCACGCCATTTTTTTTAAACGGCTCGGTAAGGTTTCCCGGAAAAGTCCACAAGATTTTGCCGTTTCTATAATTTTGGGAAGGCGATTCGATTTCCTCCAAAACGTTCTGTGTATCGTCAGTAACGGACGTTAAGTCATCAAGTAAATCTATTTTGTATGCGTTATTCACATAAATCAGTTGGTATGCTATGAATATCCACAAAACCGAAAATTTCATTGTTCCTGTAATTATAAGTAATATTAATAACGATTAATTAATTTTGAATTATTAACGAATTTGGCAATTTAGCATTTTACTTAATATAAATAATTAATACAATTAACGTTATTGATTAATTACGACAGTATATTTGAAAACTTTTTTTTTTTCAAAATTAATAGCTACAAATAATTAAATAAAGAATCAAACATTTTGTTGTATATGACAATAAAAACTTAAATAGGACATTGAAATAATAATAAACGAAATAAGACTAAAATTACTCACCCATTTTCGAGCTGCAAATGAAACAATGGAAAATATATTATAAAAAATATTTATATATTATATTATTCCGATCCCGCGTCCCGTCTCTACTGCGGATCGTCGAGAAGTGTTGTATTCGAATTCTTACTGGATGCTCGTGGCTCGGCCGCGCACTTGAATCTACCGTTACGTTGACATAATGACCAAGATCAAAGTAGTGCTAATACAATCACTTATCATCTGCTTAGCGGCATACGGCATGCCAATTGACAGCCGTGAGTTAGACTCACTGAAAAAAACAATGCAATTCAAATAGAAAGGAGTTTGTTTTCAACAACATCCGAAGGTGTGTTACTAAAAACAAAAATTACCCTTTTTTTCATTTCGTAGGAATTGTTTACCCAAAATTTAATGAAGAATACCTGACGTTTCTATTGCAAATAATCAACAGGAATAGTGTTGCTGTTGTTGTTTTTTTTCTCGCAAAATTGATCATATTTAACTTATACCTAATGTCTATGTATTCATTTTAAATGCGATCCACATAGAGCGCATAGCTTCACAATGTATTTCTAGCACAATCTCCACTTCAAGATCCACCTTAATTTCTTTTTCTTAAGCTTTAAAAACCTCTGTCTTATTCTAGGTTCACTTTCAAGGGAGATAGAGATCTTTTGTCTTTGTCTGACGGAAAGCGAAACAGCTATTTTGGATTAATGATCCCTGTCCACTCCCTGTTGTTTTTTCCGGCGCGTCTTCTGCCTTGACCCTTAACTATTTTTATCAGTTGAAGCAGTCGACACGTATTATGCCGGAGCACGCCTCAAATAGTCTACTTTTCGGTTATTGATGGTCTTCTTTTCAATTCTCGCGACACACTGACACAGTGAACGACCTCACTCTTGTTAAGGTCGTCGACATCTATTATAGTTATCTTTGGAATCTCATCCGTGCGGTCCATCACTTAAAACTCTGATCAAGCATCAATAATTGTGAACAATGAACCATAAACTACAAATACATAACTCATGACACAGTGGAAAACAGTTACGGTGAGCAATCAAAACGATAATGCCTATTCATGGCAGTATATTCCGTATGTAAGTCACGTTATACAAACAAAACTAGTGGACTACTTAGTAATTTTATCATAGATGCGTTTGCCGTTTTATCTGAAAAAAAAAAAGTTTTCCGTTAGCGATCAGTTTTTGACTAGTCAGGGCTACCAATGTGTCAAAAGGCATACAGCTTTCTTCACCTTGACCAAATCTTTCATTTACGGTACTAGTCATTAAATTATGTTTTTTTTTTTTTTAAAGTAACCTGATGTCTTGGATCTAATTATCCAATGTCGACACAAGTGTCAACACTAGGACAGTTGTGACTTCGTGTGACGTTAGGGGGAGTTTATCGGGAGGGGATTACCGTCGGAATTCTCCACCCGCTTACAGAACCATACTATTAGCTATAATTGTTTTGAATTGGCGCTGTTTTCTTTCATTACAATGATATTTTATTAGAAGAAAAACTTCACGAAACCGATCTAACGTACTATCGTATACCAATTTAGTTTTAATGTAAATAATTTACGAAGCATATTATTATTTATTAGTTTCAATAATTTTCTTAGGTCAACCTTAATACCTAACTGCTGCTTTGTATAAAATCAATGTAATCCGTTAGTACCTTCTAATCTATTCTGCTTGATAGACACTTGGCAATGCTTGTGGATTTTGATTGCAAGTTCAAGTGTAGTGGCATATAGAATATATGAAGTCATTTATAACGCTGTACTATTATTACATTATTAAAAGAAAAATAAATATAAGCTCATTAACTCAAGAACCTCTCAAAGAACCACTCAAGAACCAAATAGCCTTTCGCCCCTCGACATAATTCCCGTTCGACACATAACATCATCATCATCATCATTAGCCTTTATCTGTCCACTGCTGAACACAGGCCTTCCCCAATGCCTTCCACAGAATGCGATCCTCCGCCTTCCGCATCCAACGACTTCCCGCCGTGCGCACTAAGTCGTCGGTCCACCTGGTTGGCGGACGCCCCACGCTCCTGGTACCCATCCGTGGCCTCCATTTGAGGACTTTCTTCCTCCACCTGGCGTTGTTGGTTTAGAATTAAAGTAGTTAGCTAAAAATTTTAAGAAAATGAGTTTTGTATTTCGAATGTATTCTATCAGTTTGTAAAATTAAATAGTCTCGTCTAGTCCAGAAAAGGACAAACGTACTCTTTCCGTCTCTTTTAAATCGAACGCATGCCTTAAAGTGCTAAAATCGAAATACTAGAAAAATTACAATTCTACAATAACATTTATGAACTTTACCAAAAAATAAGAATTTTGGATTAAGCCACTTCAATTCTAAAAGTGGTAGACTAAGGTCGAGGGTCGAAGACTCAATAGGATTGTGTAGAGGCAGTCCTCCTGTCCTTCAATCTGAAACGTATGACTGCTTCGCGCCTGAGATGAACAGGATGGTGCTATCCCGAGCGAGATTACAGTACCTACGCCTTAAGATCCTTAATTAAGTGATGTTGAAATTTATAATGCGTGTTTTTAATTTTGTCAGACGATGTGTGCACGACATAGTCAAGGTTAATGTTTTTTAATTGCTTAGATGGGTGGGTGGGACGTGCTCATAGCCCACCTGGTGTTAAGTAGTTACTGGAGCCCATAGACATCTGCAACGTAAATGTGCCACCCACCTTGAGATCTCAACTATAGTTACAACCAACTTGAGATATAAGTTCTAAGGTCTCAAGTATAATTACAGCGGCTACCCCACCCTTCAAAACGAAACGCATTACTACTTCACGGCAGAAATAGGCACTTTACATACACAAGTACGTATTTCATCAGAACAAAATGGCTTCTGACGGGGGAATGTTTTTAAGATGGTGGCGGAAATCATCATCGCGGGAATCGGAAATCATTTAATCTCAGTTAAGCTCTGATAAAGCAAAGATCGAACAGTTTCGAACAAATAATAAACATAGAGAAAAACGGATACCACTACTTTCAACCATGCCATTGGTATAGTACTACTGATTGAGGCTCCAATTTCATGTTCCAGGGTATTTGAGTTAACTTTTACGCTATCGAGAACGTTAACTCGCACTAAGCACATTCACATTCATATCTGTGGACTTCGGCAATAACTTGACAACAGGTGGCTGCTTGACCCCATAGCCATGGACATAAACCAATGTTCAGACGAAGTTATCACCGATGCTCATGGAAATCAGAAATTTAAAATCCTACCTGACCTTTTTTCAAACTTCGTTTGAAGAAGAACATGCGATGCCCTATGCTAAACGAGTTCATTTTATAACCAGATGGTCCTTGCCGAAAACATCTGGTAACAAACTTTCATGTCCGTAGCAACAACTTAGTGTTTGTTCTCAGTGTCAAAGTTATGGCGATTTAAATTTCTAAGCTGCAGAACGTGTATTTGAATATGGATATATTCTATTCGATAGCTACACAAAGTTAAATGTGAAGATATATATTATTTGTCTCAAGCTCTTTATTATAATTACTCTCAGGCTACATTTTATGAGGATAACTCAGAACTCTAAAAAAAAATTGGAATCTTTTTGTAAAAGTTGAAAGAACAGCTTATTTTCGTTTGATGTGAATGCACAAGACTAAAGGCTAAAAATAACCATGTACTGAATGTGCAAAACGCACTGTAACGGATGCATAAACCGTTACTCAATTAAAGCACATCTGAGAACTTTCTAGACTTCTTGTTCGTTCAGCTTAAGGTTGCCATTTTGGAAATTTTAAACCCAAGATTTGAGAATAATTCGAACCAATATCAAATGCAATCTTTAAATACGGTATAATTAAATTCCATGTGAAACGATGCTTAAGAAATTGCTATTTTTTGTTCTATTCAACAAATTTCTTTCTGTACTCTATTATATTTTTCAATTCTACAAATATTGAGGATATATGTGGTTGAGTAAAGAAAAAACTCAGAAATGTGCTTTAAAAACCCACCCCACTGCTGACTAGAGAGTCAGACAGTCATATATAGTTATATATATCAAATAAAAGAAAACTATCAACGACTATCAAAACAGTATATATCATCGGAAAAATGTGGGCTGGCAACATTTATCCAGTTATTTCGCCGCGTCGTGAAATGCATCGATATTTAAATGTGATCATGAAGCAGGTATTGACCCCTTAAATAAAATCTTTATGCAGAACACATATGGTTATGTAACGTCGAGATTTGAATACCCAATTAGGTTAATAAAAATTTAACGGGCATTTTTTTTTTTAAACTTGATTTTATTGACAACCAAAAAGAAAACACGGTAACAAAACAATGGCCGTTTTTCTTAATAATGTAATAAAACGTTGTAAAATATGAACGGAACCGCATTTATTTTAATGCCTAACTAAGATAAAAATGTATTATGGTGTTGGTAATTTATAGCTTACTTTTATTTTTATTACAACTCTTTTTCTCAGTTAAACAATATTGGATTGTGAAATTGTGGCCGAAAGTGTTTAGTATTTCGATTAGAGCTTATTTTGATGCTTAAATTATTAGTCTGATCAGTTGATATTACTATAATTAATACTATGTTTCTAATGAAGACAAAATCGTTTTCAAAAAAAGAAGTAGATTTTCAATTTTAGACCAATTTTTTTCAGTATTTTCACTAATTTTTTTCAGTAGTTTTGAGTAGCATATTTTTTGAGAATACTACCATCTGTTGGATGAAATCTGCAACATTTTGTCATGTTGCTACTAGGTGAAAACAACTGTGAAACATGGGACATGATTTCCTTCGTTGCACAATAGATGGCAGTTTTACTCCAATCGTTCAAATGAAGAGTAGGTAGGTATATATCTCATTTTCAATATTTTTCTTTACTTTTTTTCTTCTTTTATTGCTTAGATGTGTGGACGAGCTCACAGTCCACCTGGTGTTAAGTGGTTACTGGAGCCCATAGACATCTACAAGGTAAATGCGCCACACACCTTGAGATATAAGTTCTAAGGTCTCAGTATCGTTACAACGGCTGCCCCACCCTTCAAACCGAAACGCATTACTGCTTCACGGCAGAAATAGACGAGGTGGTGGTACCTACCCGTGCGGACTCACAAGAGGTCCTACCACCAGTAATTACGTAAATTATAATTTTGCGGGTTTGATTTTTATTACAAGATTTTATTCCTTCACCGTGGAAGTTAATCGTGAACATTATTGAATTTCATTAGAAACATTTTTACCAGCCCGCGGGATTCGAAAATCGGTGCATCGCTAGATACGAATAGACCGAACGTCTTAACCTTTAGGCCACGACGACTTCGCACTTTCGAATTACGCACGTTTCAGGGTGTCTATTGACTCCCATAACTACTTACGTAGGGACGTGGAATTGTCTGTCAACTCAAGGACATAAAAGGTTTCGATGTCAGTGTTTAATTTTGTACTAGACGATGATCGAACTTTGCGCGGTTTTTTTTTTGATAACGCCATCTTGTTGTGTCTTTAAAGCGGTTAGTTGCCCTCAATTAAGAAAAGTAGTATTATTATTATTCGCCAATAGATGTCGGGAAGAGTCATAAAGCTGATTATCGATAAATTTTCTGAAAATAAATCGTAGCTAGATCGATTTATCGCCCCTGAAATCCCCTGTATATTAAATTTTATGAAAATCGTTAGAGCCATTTCCGAGATTCAGATTATATATATATACCTATATACAAGAATTGCTCATTTAAAGGTATATGATTTAACAGAAAGCTATTCGTGTCGTTCCATGTCGATTAGAAATAAATGTCATTGAACGTCAATTTAATTTTTTTATTTTTATTTATTGCTTAGATGGATGGACGAGCTCACCGCCCACCTGGTGTTAAGTGGTTACTGGAGCCCATAGACATCTAAATGCGTAAATGCGCCACCCACCTTGAGATACAAGTTCTAAGGTCTCAGTATAGTTACAACGGCTACCCCCACCCTTCGAACCGAAACGCATTACTGCTTCACGGCGGAAATCATCGTTCGTCGCTTGTTGATTTGTATCAAAATATTGTCAATAATAATTATTGTACTATGAACGTTCCTCTAGCCACTTTACGTATTATGCATTCAAACCCTTAAATTGTCGAAAGCAATTTTCTTGTCAGTACAATTTCCCGTGAATGTTTCTTGACAGTTTTAAGTAATGAAAAGCTATTCACTGAGTGCATGGTAATGGTTGTTGAAGGATCGTTGCGATGAACATCCTCGGTTTAAATATCATATCATTTCTTTGTTCGTTAGACATTTCTTCAGTAATCGAAGTATTTAAGTATAAACATGTTAGAGACGTTATCGTATTTCACTGTTTTAAAGAAAATCAATTAATACTACCGCAACGAGTGTTTCATTTTAATAATTTTCGTACAGTCTTTGTGTTCATGCCCAATAATATTTCCTGGGAATTACCATATTCGTATCCAAAAATTGGAGTTTTAATCAACACGTCTTGTGATGGTTGGGAGAAGTTTCAAGAGTTTCAGAACTCACACACGTGGGTTTATTACACAGATAATCTCACCTCGACAATCACAGCTTTATCTACATTTCCTATTGAAATTAATAGCGATGTCACAGTCGTATATAAAGAGAACAGCGCGTATCAAGTATTCGATACTTACAACACAGGAAGAAAAAATAATGGCGTTTTCAATGTTAACTATATCGGTCATATACATCCTGGTTTGCAAGCAAACTTAAAATTTACTACAAGAAACTTAAATGGAGTTACATTAAAATCTACAGTGGTGATTTTGAAAAAAGTTCAATATGAGTCTTTTGAGAAATATTTACGCAAGAAAGAACAAACTGGATTGGACTCAGTGCATAAACATAAATTCTTTGAACTGTTGCTATATATTAGCGAAATGTACAATATTACGTAAGAGAATTAGGGCTTCAGTTTACTTCTTTTATTTCCCTTTCCTATTGGCTGGTAGTCTAAGGTGCTACTCTAATTATGCCCGGACGGCAGATGAGCTCACGGGCTTAACCTGAGAGAATTTGCTTATTAGCTCAATTTGTAGTTTCTATTTCAAAGATGAGACTTAAATCTCGGCTCTCAATATAGGCAACTAACCTTCTAATATAATTTTTTTTTTATTTAAAATGTAAAAACCACAAAAATAACTTTTTATTTTTTTATTGCTTAGATTGGTGGACGAGCTCACAGCCCACCTGGTGTTAAGTGGTTACTGGAGCCCATATACATCTCCGACGTAAATACGCCGCCCACTTTGAGATATAAGTTCTTAGGACTGAAGTATAATTACAGCGGCTACCCCACCCTTCAAACCGAAACGCATTACTGCTTCACGGTTGAAATAGGTAGGGTGGTGGTACTTACCCGCGCGGACTCACAAGAGGTCCTACCACCAGTAAAAAGTTTCGCTTTAGTAATAACATGCTATACCCTATTTTCACATTTTGATTTATTTTGCCTTTTAGCTATGATCTAATAAGGACAAATACTTGGGGTTATGCACACGACGGAAGAATTGATGGCATGGTTGGAAGTTTGCAGCGTCACGAGGCTGATGTCGGCGGTTCGCCTATATTTTTTAAGACCGACAGAACTTACGTTATTGACTACGTCGCTGAAACTTGGCCGTCAAAGTAACCTTCAATATTTGTTCCGCAATCATATTTAATTAATGAAACAAACAAACTTTTCAATTGAATTGTACGATTTCAGACAAAGCTTCATTTTTCGTCACCCAAAGCATCCGACCGGTGTTCATACTGTTTATTCCAGACCACTAAGTAACTCAGTTTGGTATTGTGTAATAGCGTTTTTATTTGTAACTGCTTCGACAGTTTTCTTTATGCTTAAATTTAACATCGACGAGATAGAACGCGGCGAAACATCTCAAAGTCTTGCATTTTTATTTGCTTGGAGCGCGATCTGTCAACAAGGTGAGGTGATATAATTTTATGTGTAATACTAGCGACCTGCCCTCGCTTCGCTTCGGAAACATTAAATTTTATTATTGATAGGAGAGTCCTGCCATGTTGCGCGCGGTACGACAATAACTGCGGGTGACGCCGCGGGGCGAAGCTAGTCTAAAAAAAGCCTAAGTTACTCCTTATAACATCAGCTACCTATTAGTGAAAGTCTCATCAAAATCGGTCTAGCCGTTCCAGAGATTAGCCGGAACAAACAGAGAGACAGACAAAAATTGTAAAAAAATGTTATTTTGGTGTATGTACCGTATAAATATTCATAATATGCATGTAGTAAAAAGCGGTTATTTCAATATTACACACAGACACTCTAATTATATTTATACGTATAGATAATATTATATCGGAATCGCATCGGAGTAAGCCATTTTATTTTCCAGGTATGTCACTCAGACGTAATTCTTTGGCACTAAAAGTTGTCGTTTTCGTTACTTTCGTGTGCTCCATAACATTGTATCAGTACTATAATGCAACTGTAGTTTCAACATTGCTCAAGGAATCTCCGATAACTATACGGACTTTGAAGGATTTACTGCAGAGCGATTTGAAAGTAGGAGTCGAAGATGTCGCCTACGTTAAAGATTATTTTGCGGTTAGTATGTATAGGAACCTGAAAGTGAAACTGAAACGCTTTTATTAGCTTGACCTGTATCTATTTATCTATGTAACACATCTTTTCTGAATTCGAGACGTCTGATTATCTGGAAAAATTATCATATGTGTCAAGGACCAATGGCAATACAATATTTTTATTACTTTGGCCTAATGTAAACAGGATTTGTAGAATAAAAAAATAAAAAAACAAAATTTTGATTTTTAAACTATGCAAAATCAATTTAGATTTATATTGTCTCAAACCTTTCATGTTTACTTTTGGTATTAAGAAAATCTGATGGACAAGAAACCTTATAATAAATTCGCCTCAAAAACGATCAAGTACACAGAAAAGAGGCTATGACTCGGGCCACTTCTAGTTAATTATATGGACTATTCCAATAATGATATTTTCAAGTTGTTTCCCTACTGGACTCTACTATCTCCTTAGTGCCTATATTGATTACTAATGATAGGGCGTGTCGTTAGCTCGCACGGTTGAGCACCGCGGCCTTGCCTATTTCTCTTTTCTTAGCCTTGAAAAGCAATCATGGATATTACCTATAGATTCTGCGAAGCACGGCTCTTGCTAGGGTTCGTGTTAGCAACATCGTCAGGCTTAAGATCCCTTAGGTTAACCACTTACTAGTAAATTAAGTTAAAGTAATCGTAACCTTATGGTCTCTCTAGACCATCAGCTTAGATAAAAAAAAGGATTTTAAATTTAAATGATGCCATAGATTTCTCAAGATGCTTTGATGCAGTCGGGATTTATTTCTAATCTACAGTAAACACTTTCCCTTGAATGGGTGTTTATTGTGTCTAAAAAGTATTTATGCAAATAAAATTTATTATCACTTTCTTTAAATTTTAGCACACAAAAGATCCGATTGCTATTACAATGTATGAGAAGAAGATCGTCACAGGTAACAATCGTAACTTCTTTGACCCGGAGTACGGCATGTCTTTGGTGAAAAAAGGAGGCTATGCTTTTCACGTGGACACAGCTTATTCATACGGTATCATGAAGAAAACATTCACCGAGAGGGAGATATGTGAGATTCGCGACGTAACTATGTATCCACCTCAAAAAATGGCTGCTGTATTGAAGAAAAATTCTCCGTACCGGAATTATTTTGCAATCGGGTAAAAAATATCGATAGAAAACATACTGTTCCTGAATTAATTTATAAAGAAACATTGGTTGAATTTATTTTTGAATCGCTTCGATAAAATACTTGACATTTTCGTATTTAAAAATGGAATATTGGTATTGAAATATTTGTAATTGAAAATTGGACTACTGGGAGTAGGACCTCTTGTGAGTCCGCACAGGTAGGTACCACTACCCCGCCTATTTCTGCCGTGAAGCAGTAATGCGTTTCGGTTTGAAGGGTGGGGCAGCCGTCGTAACTATACTGAGACCTTAGAACTCATATTTAAAAGTGGGTGGCGGCATTTACGTTGTGAATGTCTATGGGCTCCGGTAACCACTTAACACTAGGGGGGCTGAGAGCTCGTCCACCCATCTATGCAATAAAAAATAAAATAAAAAAGGCATATTGTAAGCCTGCACGGGTAGGTAGCATAATCCTGCCTATATCAACCTCAAAGCAGTCGTAAATTCCGGTTCGAATTATGGGGTAGCCGTTATATAATGCAGTTAGTATTTCGGCCTCATGTAATATAATATACTAGCGGCCCGCTCCGGCTCCGCTCGGATCTTTAACAAAAACTTCAACGAAGTTGTTTTATTTTTTTAAATAAAAGAACAATTATTGCGGCATAACTATAATAGTTGTTCTACAAAGTCGTAGTACTTTATTTTATTCAATCACCAATAGTTATCGCAGGGCACGCGATGTAAAGAATATTTTGGGTAATTTTTTTACACCTTGGGTTACATTATTGGAGTTTTAGTAAGGATACCTAATTTTTTTCAAAAAATATTGTTGCCTATAATAGCCTATGTTACTCGGGAATAGTGTAACTTTCAAATAGTGAAAGAATTTTTTAAATCAGCTCAGTAGTTTCGGAGCCTATTCAATACAAACAAACAAATATTTTCTCTTTATAATATCAGTATAGATAGGTGGCTGGCGGCATTACTGTTGTTATGTCTATGGGCTCCCGTAAATAAGTGTTCTTTGCGCTAGTACAACTCTTAATCCAAAAACAAGAATTTGAAGCACTAGTCGCTTTTAAGCTTAAATATATCTTTGTTATTTATTTATTTTCGAATAAATGTGGTTTCTTAGTCTTATTTACCTCTACCGCCGCCGCTTTTGAATATATTCACTAGTTAAAAATAAACAATGAAAAATATTTACATTTTTCTTAACCGTAGAATTCGCCGGCTATGGGAAACGGGGTTGATGCAGAGGATGAAACACATATGGGACGAACCGAAGCCGCCCTGTGTGCGGACCCAGGACAGCAGCATTTTCTCTGTCTCTATATTAGAATTTTCTACGCCACTTTTTATTGTTGTGTTTGGCGTGATTGCATCTGTAGTGGTATTGTTGTGTGAAACATTATTTGACACTCTTTTTAATATGAGATGAAAGTATTATAGCTAGTTAAATTTTATGTTATTGGTCACGGTACACGTTGTGCAAAAAATGTAATTAGGCTTTTGATTGTAAAACTTATTAAGAATTCGGTTCGGTTAATTTATTTTTGGGATTTTTTTTAAGAGTATATGTACTTACTTTGCGTTATAAGTCTTCATTCTTTCATAAGATTATGTTACGAGTTTGGGTATTTTAAAATTAATTCAATACAATGTGTGCAAAATGATCGCAAAGTAGTTGTGTGCTTTATTTTTATCTTTGATTATTCTGAGTATCTCAAGACACAATTACGATAAAAAATATATTTAACAATTCCCTTTCAACAAACAAAAAATCGACCAATTTATAAAGTACCTACGCTGGATAGAGTGGTAAAAGATCATCCCACCCAAATTTAGATATGGGATTTACTTCAATCTACACGAATTGTTTGGGTTTGTTTGTTACATGGTATTCGGGATAATTTACTGTGAAACAATATAAGCTTACGACGTTAAATATTAATTAAAAGCTACCTGTTCGCAAAAAGGGTGGATGTTGTACAATCGTAAATGATTAATTTAAGCCGTGAAGTTCCTACTCAGGAGTTTGTAAATATATACGAATATCTATCTACATTAATAAAGCTGTGCATACATCCTCGTTTATTAGTCTTTAATGCATACATATATGGAATATATACTTTCGAATTGCGGAATCATCATAATAAATTAAACTTAGAAAAATATAACTTTTGATCTGGAACGTTCGGACCATTGCTCGGAACGGCTCAATGAAAGATCGTCTGTGTGTCGTTTAAAAACACCCTCATAATGTCACCCAAAGGAATAGATACTTTGAAGGATAATATTTAATTGACGTTTTTTTTTTTTTGCAATTTTTTTCCACTATAATTTTAATAATCATTTCTTTATAGTTACGAAAAATTTAAAAACAGCAGTAAAAGTAGAAGTGAAAGTCTTTGGTTGTAACTTTTAATTTTTTATTAGTGACGTTAGCCGTTCAAAATAATGAAAAATAAATAGGTCAATGATGCCCTAGGAATGATTTCGGAAAAAAACGCCTTACACAAAGTTCAAATAAAACCCCAGCTTGGAATCGACTTTCATAAAATTTCCGAATTAATTAAAATATTTCGTAGGGGTTGAAGAAAGTTTGTAATTTAATAAGAAGCCTTTTAAAACCGTACCTCACGTAGTTCCGTAAAAATTATATTTATGATTTATATAGCTTCACATTAAAAAAAAGCTTATGGCTAATGGCTTTATTTTTAAAGAAAATAATATAACATAAAATCCTAATAGTTCATAACAGTTAATAAATAAACGGTGGTTCAATTTAAAACAAAATTATATGAAAGTTAGCATTTGCTATCTATACGTCTAGTCATAATAAAATTGGAATAAATAAAAAAAATGTTATGTATTACGAAATTTTCCTCCAACATGGCGCATGAAGCGCATAAGGAATGGCTTGCCATGGCTTGATATAGCTGGCCACTTCTCGCGTGCTTCATGCGGTGGTAGGGTTTGTAAAATGCAACGACTCATTTTACAGGTACCCATAGCTTAGAAGACATTCCGTTGTATTCGCCGTATTAAATGAAGCAACTATGTCCGTCCTGAAATCTTAAAGAAATATAACAGACTATTACTAAGTAAATAGGCACCTGACATACGTTTACGACTACATCGTGCAATAAAAATCAAAACCTTTTAATGAATTATAGAATTTGTGTAATTACTGATTTTAGGGCGTTTTGTGAATCTGCACGAGTAAATACTAACTTAATCTCTAATTCTCACGAACGTTGTGCATAGTAGTTTGAAGGTTAATAAACAACCTTTATTATAATATAATTGGGGCATCGAACTCATGTCTAATCATAGGTGTCATTCTGCATTCTCTTTATATCTTCAAGTGTTCTGGTTACCTAATATTACAAGAGAGCTTATGAGCCGGTAATGTACCTAATGAAGTACTAAGAAATAATAAAAAACATACTGCCGGTTGTGACACGCATTAAGTCGTAGTGAGTTTCAACGCACGTACTCTGGTACGTGATCGTCCAGGGTTCCCGCTTTGGCCCATTTCCGCGGCGCGAAGTGCAATTAGGAACTTATCGTCAGAGATACAGAGGCAACTTGGCACTTAGGAGCAGCCGAATATCCATTACGAGAGGAGAAACGACATACAACCTTTAAGCGCTTAACAACGTTACATTATGCGAAGCTCCCTCTGAAATACGTTAAAGGCTTTTTTGTATTCAAAACTGTGCCGAGTGGGTTTCCTGTCTGAGTCGTTTGTATGCATTGAAAAAAAATTATCTTCGGCAGTTAAATTTAAGGTTCATGTAAGCGATATATATATAGTAAATATATAGTAAACGACCGTCTGGTGTAGTGGTAAGTGACATGGTCACTACACAAGGGGGTCGCGGGTTCGAATCCCGCCAAGGAAAGATATTTGTATGATAAATATAAATGTCTTTTCCAGGGTTACGGATGTATATTAAATATATGTATGTGTATAATAAAAATCTTACATTTATTTCCGTTATCTGGTACCTGTAACACAAGTTCTTTACGAACTTATCACGGGACCAGTTAACGTGGCGTGATTGTTAGTAAATATTTATTTATTTATTATTATTTATTATATATTTTGTAAAGAACAATTATTGCTCTTTGATCGTTATAGCATCGTTGCTACTGTAAAATATTACTGAAATTAAAACAATGAAATTTTGAATATTTATTCACTATTAGCTGACCCGGCAGACTTCGTAGTGCCTCAATCGATAAATAAAATACCTAAGCTTTTCATCACATGGACACATGAAAAGAAAAACAAAATTGTTATTTTTATTTAATTCCGAGCATTTTCTTATTTATCTACCTTTTAAACCTTCTCTGGATTTCCACAAATAATTTAAGTTCAAAATCAGCCAAATCGGTCCAGCCGTTCTCGAGTGACACTGAGAGTTAGTGAGACTGGTGGTAGGACCTCTTGTGAGTCCGCGCGGGTAGGTACCACCGCCCTGCTTATTTCTGCCGTGAAGCAGTAATGCGTTTCGGTTTGAAGGGTGGGGCAGCCGTTGTGACTATACTGAGACCTTAGAACTATATCTCAAGGTGTGTGGCGCATTTACGTTGTAGATGTCTATGGGCTCCAGTAACCACTTAACACCANGTACCACCGCCCTGCTTATTTCTGCCGTGAAGCAGTAATGCGTTTCGGTTTGAAGGGTGGGGCAGCCGTTGTGACTATACTGAGACCTTAGAACTATATCTCAAGGTGTGTGGCGCATTTACGTTGTAGATGTCTATGGGCTCCAGTAACCACTTAACACCAGGTGGGCTGTGAGCTCGTCCACACATCTAAGCAATAAAAAAAAAAAGACTAACGAACAGCAATTCATTTTTATATACCTATATAGATTGCTTGAAAATTATTATAATACATATTTTTTATTAATTATTTTATCCGAAAACAACATAAAATGTAATCGATAATTACAAAAGATTTAATCTATTCAGCAAATTAGCTTAGGCCGGAAAGGATTTTGTTACAAACAAGATAGCAGAAAAGTTATTTTAGACGAAGCAATGCTCGTTTCCGTTGAGTCTTTCGTGGCATAGGAATCGTTCTATTAAAATGAACATGGCACAAATAAAAGAAAATCATCTTTATTTTTAGTAATTCATACGAAATATTAACGCTATCAATCACATTTTTAAAATTTTAAATAAATATTACTTGATAAACAATAGTAGCGAACATAGCAGAAATATTCTAGCCGAAGAGGTCGTTGAACTATCTGAAACATAAAATTGTATTGTATAAACAGCAATGTTTTTCAAGTTGAAAACAAAGCTGCCATAATCTACTTATTCGTACCCTCGTCCACTACTTTTTTCTCCTCCTTGACGATGCTTTATTATACACAAAAGAAATAAAAATGCAAGACATTAAATACAAAGCAAGTGCAAAGGGCGGTCTTATCGCTAAGAGCGATCTCTTTCAGACAACCATCAGGTGGACAAGAATCACTTTAGGAAACAAATTACATGCGGTGTACCTGACGATTGCAATATACATAATATATGTACACACATACATGTATATATACACACACAAATACATATCTTCTTTTCATTTTCATGAAATTTTTCTTTGACATGACATTTTCTTTGTCCTGTAGTCTTTTTAATATTTTTACTAACGACATACGCAAAAACGCTATGAAGTTATTCGTTTATTCACTTCTTCACAGTACATAAGCATAATTATTCTCAGTTAGTCAAAAACAAACATAGCTTCAATGATATTCAATTCCATGAATTCCCATTCCCGAGAAAAATCTAAATGTAACCGGAAATCTGATACTTGATCTTACCATTGCTTTGTCTTTGTTGAGGCCTTCCGATTTCAATAGCAGCTATTTGAGCAGTCGGCATTAAACCTACAGAAATATTTGAATGTAAATTAATCAAATAGATTTCAGCAATGGTTAAATAAAATTACTTTTGTATATAATTACTTTATTCTTTATTGTACACACAGTTAATACAATATAATAATTGCGAAAAGTTATAAAATGGTGTGCTTAACTCAACAATTGAGTTATCTACCAATCTACCAGTTAACCGTTCTTAAAGAAGGTGAGCTTTACATAGGTTAATTATACAATCATCGATGGTGTCGGCATTATGTAATGACATGACAGCGTCAAACGATCTTCCTAGTTGCAACATAGACCTATATAGCAGGAGACCGATCAGAAAGTGCAGACATAAGATGGAAGTCTCAGCAATGTAATGCTGTTCCTTTCACACTAGAATATTATTACTTCTTAGCAGAAATACGTAGATTGTCATTACTAGTTAATTAAGTGGGTTTTTGTCAGTAAGGAATGTATGAGACGTGAGAGTAAATCTTAATTAGTAATTTAGGGTTAACTTCAGTGAGTTGCAATCATTTTTGATAGAAGACATTAGAGCTTGTTAAGCGATGCTTGAATGATAAGACCTCAGCATGCTCGTAGATAAATGGATCGTATTCAGATCACTTCTGATTGAGATAGCAAGAAATTGAAAGGGTACCCCTAAATTTGATTTTAGAATATACATGCTAATATTATTTCAACGAGTCTTCGATATTGCGTTGTTTATTTTCAGATGAAAGTATTGACCTCCGGAACCTACGTGTGTTTGATTAAGTTTGATGAAATGAAGCAACCCAAAAATTTTATGTAAGCGGTCCATTGATTTGTAGATTATTATAAACGTGACTTTACTGCAGCTACTACAGCAAGCTATTGCAGAGACTGAGTCACCTTTTAGCTAAATCTTACCCCAAAACCGGGATGAAAACTTGGTCTGAATGGGTTTAGGTATGTTGGGCTATACCAATATATGACGACCGTCTGGTGTAGTGGTAAGTGACATGGTCACTATACAAGGGGGTCGCGGGTTCGAATCCCGCCAAGGGAAGATATTTGTATGATAAATATAAATGTCTTTTTCAGGGTTATGGATGTATATTAAATATATGTATGTGTATAATAAAAATCTTACATTTATTTGCGTTATCTGGTACCTGTAACACAAGTTCTTTACGAACTTATCATGGGACCAGTTAACGTGGCGTGATTGTTAGTAAATATAAAAAAAAAAAAAAAATATACCTGGATAGTATATGGTAGTACGGCTATCAGTGTAGTTGGCTGACGGCAAACTTAATATACAGGTGAACTCTTCCCATGGAGTCATGACGTCATCGTCGTGTACGACTGCTTTTGTTTCAATTGAGTAAAGACCCCATGAATTCATCTTTATCTCGGTAGAAGCTTGTTTTAAGAGCTTACTGAAAAGTACAAACTTGTTTTCAAACTGGCACACGTACTATGCTGTTAGATTTTTGTGGACTAGTGAAGTAGGAGTCAAAATCCGACAACAACAAAAATGGTATACATCTGTTGCAAGATTATTTGTATAGTTATTTAGATTTAAAAAATGAACGAGTTTACTTAAATGCTTTCTTTAATAAATCAGAATATTGGAATAAGAAAAAAAACCTATAAATTTTTATAAGTATTAAATCTGAAAAGAAACTTCACATGTTTTCTATTTTGAATCACGTATAAGATTCTGCACGTGAAACACGTAGTCATAACTTTAATTCATTTTACATGTAAGACGTTGAGTGACTGGCAAAGGATGCCTTCCACAATTTGATTTATGGCTGCGAGAACTAGTCTCGCTTGCTTCGATATACTTATAATAATATTAGTCTTCCGAAATATTTATTATCATTAGGTAACGTTTATGGTAAATCGACAAAACTTTAGAAAGTTCAATAAGGTCTAATTACTTCACCAAATTTCAAGGTTCAATTATGTCATTTCATTTTATTTCATAAAGGATAAGACATCCGGTGCATTCGTATCTAGCGATGCACCGGTGTTCGAATCCCGCCGGCGAGTACCAATTTTTCTAATGAAATTCGTACTTAGCAAATGTTCACGATTGACTTCCACGGTGATAGAATAACATCGTGAAATAAAAATGCAGCCGTTGTAACTATACTGAGACCTTAGAACTCTTATCTCAAGATGGGTGGCGGCAATTACGTTGTAGATGTCTATGGGCTCCGATAACTACTTAACAACAGGTGGGCCGTGAGCTCGTCCACCCATCTAAGCAATAAATAAAAAAAAATCAAGGATATTAAAACTTCTAGTCTCAAGGCAGTGACATTATAGTCATGGTGCCTATGGGCTTCTATAATAACTTAATATCGCGTGTGCGGAAAAGAAGTGTTGCACAAACAACTCAAAGAAATGAGGTGAAGGTGAATTTTATGAAGTATGAAGTAGATACCTCAACAATATCTAAATTTGTGGTGTTTATACATAACGCTGGTTGGAAATTGTGTAAGGAGGAAAGCATACTAATATACCACATAAATTTACGCTTCAGTGAATATCTTACCCGTCTACTGGTACTGAGTTGGATAATTCAATGAAAATCCGGCCGCAAACATCGACAATATGTTCATAGGATAACATGACAATGAAACTGTATTGTTTGATGAATGATTTGTGGATGAGTTACAGAAATTTAAGATATTTGGAGCAGATTGGGCAAATGATAACGTCGAGGATCTGAATGTCTCTCTCTGTATTTGGAACTGTTTGTGATATGGGATGTTTATTTAAGGTCATGCAATAAAATACACAATTTTGTAACACATAATACTACAAAACTACCTAATAATGGCAATATAAAATTATACTAACCTTTGTGACATAATATTCATTGTAGGTTTTGGATATAGATCTTCGGCAAAGCAAATTAAACTTACAATGAAGACGTATCGTTTTTCTTGGACGAAATGGAAACTTTTACCCGTGCCTGTTAATTACATCTCGTCTATATTTAATGAAAGAAAGCGACTTAAAATATTATTAGATAATCCAAAACGAAAAACATAAAAAAATCAATTAAATGGAACATACAATTTATAGACTTAATTTATGTCTTGATATTAGTTGCTATCATAAAATATTCGAAAACTTACTATAAACTAACATGGATCTTGTTCGTCGGTCTTCCTCAATGAACGTTGATACTACACACGTATAGTTTCCACTTAAATCAGTTGTTGGTCTTATTATTTTCAGTGCTCTATACGCTTGTAGCGGCTCATCTACAAATTAACATATTTTATAACTATCGACTTGACTTAAAAGTAGATAAAACAGGCAGATACATTTTTAATTTTTTTTATTGCTTAGATGGGTGGACGAGCTCACAGCCCTGACTCACAGACCTGGTGTTAAATGGTTACTGGAGCCCATAGACATGTACAACGTAAATGCACCACCCACCTTGAGATATAAGTTCTAAGTTCTCAAGTATAGGTAGTTACAAAGGCTGCCCCACCCTTCAAACCGAAAAACATTACTGCTTCACGGCAGAAATAAGCAGGGCGGTGGTACCTACCTGCGCGGACTCACAAGAGGTCCTACCACCAGTACCTAATTACACAAATTATAATTATGCAGGCTTGACTTTTTATTACACGATGTTATTCCTTCACCGTGGAAGTCAATCGTGACCATTTGTTAAGTACATATTTCATTACAAAAATTGGTACCCGACTACGAGATTCGAACACCGGTGCATCGCTCAACACGAATGCACCGGACGTCTTATCCTTTAGGTCACGACGACTTTTACATATATTTAAATCAATGGTTATTCAAACCTGAAATTCGAAAATTCATGTCAACTTTCCCTTTGAGGAGACCTATGACTTGTGGCAACATCGGTGGAATCCACTGGTATACTAGACCAGACGAACCATTGAAGAACCATTTCACTACGAGCCCCGGTCCCGAGGCTGCGTTCATCACGTACTCGCAGTCCAAAATAACCGACTCCGTACCCATTTCCACTAAATAAGGCACTTCTATTCGATTTATGTTCACGGAAACACATTCTGCGAAAAAAAGTTTTATGTAAATTTATTAATACATTTATACTAAGTCGTTTTCAATCAAAAATGTACAATATATGTACATAAAATAAATCAAAATTAAACATAATATAACAGCTAATATTTTGGAATTCAATAGAATGAATAAAATCACATATTATTATATGTGAAGCTTATTTATTCCTTCCGATTCTAAGTAATTGACTATCCGAGAGCAGATAAATATGAAGATTTAGTTAATCCTACTCTAAAATAGATTGAAGCTTCTTCTTGGTGAAATGAATGAGATGCAGAATTAGAATTTACAGAGGGAGTCCAATTTGCTATATATTTCCATTAGAGGATACTCGAACGAAGATAACTTTTACGTGTCTATGCTTAAGGAATATCTGACGTATGCATGAAACATAAATGCATTATAGAGTCTAATTTAAACATAATTATTGCATGAGCATTAGTACGTCCGTTTTAATTATATAATCATTACGATTGCATGAAATTTATAAATATTATCTATCTTTTTTATTTTTATTAAATTGTATCTTATACTGCCGTTTCATACTGGTCTAATAATTTACTTTAATTTAAACTAATTTTAAAAAAGCAAGCGTTATTAGCTTATCTCGACATCACAAGAAACCTCCTCAATTTTTTTTTTTATTGCTTAGATGGGTGGACAAGCTCACAGCCCACCTGGTGTTAAGTGGTTACTGGAGCCCATAGATATCCACAACGTAAATGCGCCACCCACCTTGAGATACAAGTTCTAAGGTCTCAAGTATCGTATTAATTATATAATATTAATTATTAATGTATAATTATTATTCTAAGGTCTCAATTAAACATTATGTATTAATAATAAAGATACGGATAAATTTATTTTAGGAGAGTAAATGAGAACTACATCAAAAGTATTACGAACAGATAATGAACAAACCACGGAATAGATTATGACCGACAAACTGACGAAAGGGAATCAGATCTATGCTACTTTTGCGGCACAATATCCGCATTTCATTTTCCGGGAAACGAGCCGGTTCTTTTTGTTAGCTTTGCTTTCAGACATCAATTATCTTCCAGCGTTGCAAATCCTATCTCGCAGGAGTCTTTTAAGTTTCACTTTAATTACACGCTCGTGCTTCTATTTGCAAAATGTAAATTCCATGTATTCCGTGATCCGTTTTTAGTTTAAAATACATACAAGCAAAAATCCATGTCAATAACACACAGAAATCTTTAGACACTTTGTTTCGTTTTTTGCTGATTATTTTATAGATTGGTTACCACGAATTAATTTTTTTTTTAATTTAAAATATATAACTATAGTACGTATTATATGTACCATAAAATTTGATTATCATAATTCGCTTTTACAAAAATTGAATATAACTAAGTTCAATTAGTAAATCTTCACTGTTTTGATAAGTGGTATACCTATTCCGATAAATGTATAATCTATGTAAATAATAGCTACAATAGTTTGTCTTTAGTGGCGTGGCTCATGAATAATGTATTGTTGTCATAGCAGATATGAACTCAGGATGTAGTTATAGGCTTTCAAAGAGATTGAAACCTCTCGATTGGTATTACCATTGTGCATTAGGAAAATATCTCATTAGAACTGATATCGTAGGATTATACGTTTTTCTGCATTATATAATACAATATACACGGGTAAAGTTTGGTAGGCAGCGGCTTGGCTCTGCCCCTGGCATTGCTGAAGTCCATGGGCGACGGTAACCACTCACCATCAGGTGGGCCGTATGCTCGTCTGCCTACAAGGGCAATAAAAAAAATATATATATATATACCTTGTAAATTAAATGTAATTTTCACGTCAAATATTTTTGTTCATAAATTTTCGCCAAGCAATTAAAGGGCGGAATGAACCGGTGACGAAAATGAGAATTAACAATATTTAAATAAGGGCAGTGCTGCTTTAACACAAATTAATTTGGAGCCTTTAATCAGTTTTCCGAGATTTCGTTCCTTCATTTAAAACATTTACATTTAAATTGGTGAAGTTTAATTTTGAATTTAAATAGGCCGGGGATAAGTCTTTTTTGTCAGATTATTATATTCTTACGTTGTTTCAGGTTTTACGTGTATAATCATTTTAAAAAGGTAGCTTTCAAATGTTTTAGTAGCATACAAAATCAGTTTAATTTTCTACATTAGATGTACATATGTCTAAACTAATTTAATTCAAAACATGCATATCTAAATGAAATAATCGAAACACTTAATATTATAATCTAAATTTATGATAGCAAGAAAATATTCAGTTTCTAAAACTACGGTCTGTTCCATGCAAAAAAAATACAACAATTGATACCAACTTGAGAATAATATGAATAACACTAGTTGCCGCGGGTAGTCCATGCTTAGCGATGGGACATTGTACTTTCTTTACAGAAGTTAACGCGAAGTGCCAAAGTTCCCGCGACCACTGCTCCTTACAGTTCAGAAATAGCAACTGGAAAGTTGTGGGTTGCTTTTGGCTGCGAGAAGGCGCGCATGCGCGAGCTGCCTGTTGAGTTTTGTCTCAATTTTATTAATAAGATCATGGTAAATATGAATTTGATGAAAATATGTAACAGTTTTAGACAAGCACATTATAATTAAATAAATATTCACTTGATGGCCATTGGACAATTGTACTTTTTTTTCTCGCCTGGAGAATCTTATTGGATGTTTTTACTTGACAATGGGAACAATTAAATAAACAACACTCTATTCATGAACTGATTTTAATATTTAATTTATTTTGTAACATTACATCCCTTCCTTTCTTACTTGATTTATTGACTCTTATACAACGGTTAGAGTTTCTGGTAGTCACAAAATTTGAATTTACACTGGCTTTATACTATTTTTTCGCAGTAATAAAATATTTTATTTCGATAAACTAAACAGCACAAATATCTATATATTTTACACCAGTGAAGATAATACAGAAACATTAATATCTGGCAAATATAGACAAAGAGATTTCTTATAGATAGGAATTAAATGAATTACACATTATCTCGGGATAATGAAACGTATTCTAAGAAAATGTAAGCCTGACGAAGACGTACACTTGGCTCGCCACAAAATAAGGTAATACAGATTATGTGTACAATTTCCAAAAATACTCGAAATTGAGTTAATATGCGGAATCATTTGGTATCACCAATATTTTTCTCATAAATACAGTCAAAAGAGCGTAGTTTAGGTTTTTTTTTTTAGATTATCTATGTTTTGACTACTATTAACAAAATTAATACATAATTATATCTTACTATAAAATACAGATAATGTAAATGGTAAAAAATAAAAAATAAATGTTGCAAAGATGATTAATATTAAAAATATCACATGTTAAACCTTTCAAACATTCTCCTGTAAAATTAGTAAGTTTTGAGATTAAGCAGTTTTAATGCGAGAAGACGAATTATCAGTCCAATATTCGTATAACATTTCACTGCTTACACACACCTATTTGTTTCCTAATAGATACAATTTGTAAGACAAGGTTTTCCTATTATAAATCTTATTGTTTGGATGTCGCAAGCACAGCAAAAACCGAGTAACGATGTTTTCAATGAACCAAATGGATCTGGATGAAGCCGGCATTTTTTCTTGCCAATACAATCTGTAATACCAACGTTGGTGAAGCGCCAATTTTTATGAAGTTGGTTCTGGATATAAAACCTAATTCAAATTCCGTGAATAATAAATTGAAGTATTAATTTACATAGCGATGTGTTAGCTAATATATTGTTAGTAAACAAATTATTTGTCTACATTTTAGTCGGTCAGTCTTTTTAATCGGTTTTGTTGTCAATTGGTATCTGTATACATTTTGATAGTATGTACACGGGCATTCGGTGTTAAGTCATAATTGAAGCCCGTATCACAATAATGAATCTCCAATCGAAATCTCATTTTACCACCCTCGAATTAGGTTCACTTTCCAAGTTTCGTTGGAATATGGGAAAGGATATTGTAGGGAATAGATAAGGAATACATTATTGCTTTGCGTCAGAAAAAGGATATCCTACCTATTTTTGACGCGCTGCAATAATGTTTTCCTGTTTGAGGGGTTAGACAACCATTGTTCTATACTATTGGGGCTTAAATCTCAAAACTCAAAGTGGATGATGGCATTCACGATCGGCTACCACTTTACCAAACGGCCCGTAAACTTATTAGCCTGATTATGCTAATTAAAAAAATATATAGCTGTTGTAGAGGAAATTAAGAATAAAAGGTAAGTTTAAAAACATGCTATAATAGCAAGCACAACTAAAATCATAACACAGAGTAAACTGCGGGGTGTTTTGTACTGTATTTTAATAATATCTCAACTTTTATAAACAGCTACAAAATGAAATATTCGTATTCGTTTGAGTATAATTCTTTTTTGTTTGTTTTTTTACATATAATTTATTCCGTAAATGGTTTAACGGTAAGGATTTTTCATGTCGATGAACATAACAAAATAATATCGTATATAACAATAAACCAATATGTCTATAAAATTAAAAGGTACAGTATTTTTTCTCAGGTTCATAAGTAAAGAGATTAATCCAAAATTGTATCATTACTGTAATTACTTAATTATTATCGGTCCATAATACATGTGCAAATTTTCATGTTAATTGAACGACTTGAAGTTGGTGAAAATTATCTGGAAAGATTGAATTAAATAGATACATATATAGATAGATCCTTTTGTCGGCATCACTCTTGACAGAGAGGTCATGGTCATCACTTCAGGTGTTAGTAGCAAACTTCACAACACTCCTCTATGATGGCCGCCCTCCTCGTACATTCATATAGCGACGATAAGCCATTTAAAAGCTCTCTATCTCATATAGATAGATACAGGTCAAGCTAATTAAAGCGTCTAGTAATAAGGTGAGGGTTCTTTTACTACAAACAGGTGAGAAAGCTGTAGCAGCAATGGGAAACATGATGTATTTTTTTTAATCCCCTTGTAGGCAGACGAGCATACGGTCCACCTGATGGTGATTGGTTACCGTCGCCCATGGACTTCAGCAATGCCAAAATACTGCTGCCATTTCAGTATTTCTTAGTTAATTGACAGATTACTATCCAATAAAAACTTCTGGTTTGCTTCTTAAGGTAGATGAGTTAGCGGTCTAATGTCGAAAACAGTGCCACGCGTTGTAAATATCTCAAGTTTTTCAAACATAGGTTGAAGCGAGACTGGTCATGGCCCTCGGAGAACACTGTAGAAGGTAGTCAATATCATAGCTGGGTGGTGCGTGGAAAAATCAACGCCTTAAATTGCACTAGTAATGAAAGTAGTAGAGGTGAATGTGACCCAGTGGTGGATGGTCAGGTGACATGGCTGGTCTCGAACAATATCACAGAGCAGTATCTTGATATAATATGTGGTACAAAGCTTAGAGTATCGAAGAGAGCACTAGTCTTTCTATAGAGCCAGTCTTCAAGCGATCCATATAGTCCGTATTATCGACAAACCCAAGAAATTACTTCAGAATAAAATCTATACTAATATTATAAAGCTGAAGAGTTTGTTTGTTGAACGCGCTAATCTCAGAAACTACTGGTCCGATTTGAAAAATTATTTCAGTGTCAGATAGCTCATTTATTGAGGAAGGTTATAGGCTATATAACACTACGCTAAGACCAATAAAAGCGGAGCACCAATAAAGAATGTTTCAAAATCGGGGTTTTTTCCTTTTCAGAGCTTCCGCTGCATGAGCTGCAGAAACGATTAGAGTTTCGCTAAAATAATGTATGACAGAATTGCTCCCCTTTAAAAAATCTAAAAAAAACGTTCGCGACAGCATATTATGTCTATATGTTAAGGTTGGCTTACTATAACGTTTTTTATGGTAACCAAATTTGCTCTAAAATAAAGCATTATTTGTGAAATATTCCAAGCGGACGAAGTCGCGGCAAAAGGCTAGTCAAATATAAGTGGCTGGTGCTATACGGGAGTCCTGGTCCATAGATGGAGGCGGTACTTTAGGCGATATCGAACCTATGTACCTTGTTTACGATATTTTGACTAGGCGTGACGTATCTTTTCGCGTTGTTGAAGATGCTCTTTTCCCATGAATTTTTTTTTTTATTGTATGTTGTGAATTTAAGATTTGAATGCAAAGAGCAACCACATTATCGTTCAACTCGTACCTATGCCGTACCCAAATGCGAGGCCTTACACAGTGGTGCTACCAAATTAATTCTTATAAACTAAAGTTGTAACTAGTAATAAACTGGGCCCGATGCAACAAACTCAAAAACAAAGTTATCGTATAATGATATGCTTCTAATTTACGTAAGTGGCATGTAGAATTGAAAGTAGAAATTTCTCATTTTAATATTTTACGAGTTTCGATGGGTTGCGCGACTGACCCGCTTGACCTAGTCGCAGGGTTGATTCCTGTAGCTATGTTAGACCAACGCTACTTGGTCGGAATATGGAAGCAAAAAACTATCTTTCAGCAGTAGGTACAATAGTTTCAATTTGAAACACTCAGGCAAATTGTTTTAATAAATTAAAAAGAGTTTAAATTAAAAACCGTTTTAATAAATAAATTAAATTTCCGAAATTAGTAAACGCCTCTTTTTACAAAAAAATTAATTTCACCGCTACATTGATCTGAGGGCGATTTCAATAATATTTGTTATTAATTAGTATTTACTCTACTTTTTAGACGACGTTGCAAAAAAAAAGTGGATTATTTTCTATTCTAAATTAACTATGCAAAGTTAACATATAAATGTATCGAAATTTTGAGGTACCGCTGTATTAGTCAAATGCCGATCATCTCCACCTCACGTGTAATTAAGTAATCAATTTTATATAAATTGTGGACATCCCTGATTCTACGACCTGAAGTTTACCTTTCAATAATGAAATGCAATGCGAGTAGAAGTTCAATAAAACGATGTTGGAGTCGGTAATTTATGTCCGCATTAGAATGAAAAACGATGGTCAATAAGAATATGGACGGCGGGCAACCTATAAGCTTATAGCCATAAGGGTTGTTCACTTCAAATAAACGATTCAACAGGGCTCTGAAGCCGAAAATGGAAGTATGCACTACATTAAAACAATCAGAAAACAGTATGAGTTGACTTCAATAATTGTCTTGATCTTGTCGTGTTAAACATAAATGATTATCGTTTCAGTAAGTTCGCATTAGTATTTCGTGAGCTATGTATTTATATGTTACGGTAAATGTACACACTCTTGGGAAATGTACACTTTTACCGGTAAATGTGCAAATTTGCCAAAAAGCTAGGTATATGTGAACTGAATATAATGTATATGTACATTTAGCGGTTTTCCGGTTTCACGGTTTTGTAAATGTATACTCTTATCTTCATGTTTTAAGAAAAGTTGGAATAGAAATAAATTAATAACAGTTGTTGCAGTAAAAAAATCTTTATTGAAATAAACATAATACAATCGGCTTTAATAACGAAAATTATTGTAATTAAAAAAATGTAAATAACAAACAAAACATACTTTTCTTTGCATATTATATATGTCGTAGGTTAGATTAGGTTGTAGTTGGTTCTGGCCCAGCGGGGTATCCCGGAACACCAGCGGCACCGCCTGGGCGGCCTGGTAGGGCCGCCGTACCGCGGAGACCGACGTCGTTGGTCGTCGACTATCGCCTCGACGACCCGTCGGTCGGGCGTCCTCGGGGCGGCGCCGCGTGTCTGGTTGTAGTGTTGACCGCGGGAACCCCCCTAATCTGAACGGGTTCTGACCCCGGACGGAGATCGGACGTCGGGTGTAAGAGTGCAGGGGAGTCGTTTAGTGGGTGGGCCCTAAAATCCTTGGGCCCGCGATCTGCTCTCAACACCTGCAGATCGTTGAGTCTCACATACCCCGCGCGCCCCCTAGGCGCGGGGACCTCGTAGGAGGTTCGGCCCCGGCCCGAAAAAAAAAGAAGGTTAGGTTGTAGTGGTGCTCATGCGCATGCGCACCACATTACAAGCACTCGCGATTTCGTATTTTGTATGCCATGCTCACATTTACCAAAACGACATGGTCATTGTGAATTCAATGCACATTTCCCTTTGAAATTGTAAATGTTAGTTGAATGCACATTACGCAAACGAGGAGGCAAACTGTGCACATTTACCGGAAAATGTATTTATTTTATTTTATTTTTATTGCTTAGATGGTTGGACGATCTCACAGCCCACCTGTGTTAAGTGGTAACTGGAGCCCATAGACATCTACAACGTAAATGCGCCACCCACCTTGAGATATAGGTTCTAAGGTCTCAGTATAGTTACAACGGCTGCCCTACCCTTTAAACCGAAACGCATTACTGCTTCACGGCAGAAATAAGCAGGGCGGTGATACCTACCCGCGCGGACTCACAAGAGGTCCTACCACCAATGTTTTTTTTTTATGATTGAAGGATTACTGGTTACCCGGAGGCCTTTCCAGTTTCACCAGGACAGGACCACCAATGTGTACATTTGCCGCAATATCTGCTTTTACCGTAACATATGTATATATAGCCCAGCGACTGGCGTGCGTTCTTACGCGTCACACTGGGCCCTAACTCTCGAACGTCATCTGTTTTTTAATAGTGTGACATAACATGCAGTGCCAAAATTCTGATATGTACGTAAAATACGATTTACTGGCAGATATTTTTTTGTGCCCTACTATTTTGCGATACGTCTTCTTACTAGTAAATTTTCGCACTTTTTAATTGGGCAAATTGAAAATTATTAGGAAAATCATATTTCATTAAAAAGTTTTGGTAGCATCTATGAACTTTAATTATCAAAATTTTAAATGTAAAATGTAATGTTGATTTGAAAATTGAAATTAAATTCCTGTAGTGTTCTGGAAAATAAATGTTTTCGTTTTGTTAATTTTTCATTAAGCTTCCCTAAAAAAATATTTATCTGGCTGAAAATTTCATAAGATTCATCTTGTATTTAAAGTAGATCAAAAATAAGCTTAAGCTTAAGCCGACTAGTGAAGTGAATTTCCTGAAAATATTCATTATAAACAGATTTATTGTAAATGTTTCTTAAATATTTATGTTTTAGGTAGAACTGGAAATCAATTCTACCTGTGGGTCCGCTACTAATATATATAAATATCCATGACTGGACTGTGGTAAACATTTCGTGATTTGACATTATGACCATATAATATGATTTAGTGTCTAATAAATCAATTTTGTTCGATCGTGTTTGTTACCTTTGTCTTGTAATTCTATTTATTAAAATGACCACAACAAAATTGCGGATTTTGCTTTTTTACTCTCAAAAATAACAATAGCTAAGCTTTAGAAAAGCAAAATTGTTCAAATAAATACTTCTAAAGCTCTCCCCAGCTTATTTTATCACTGAGAACTATCAAAAAGACGATTTCGCAATTGATTTCAATGAAACTTCGCAGCCCTGTGTGTACTATGATGCGTCATATGAATTATGAAAGCATTAGTGGTCGCAAAGAATTATTTTCAAAGACTTTAATTACAGTTGTCGGCATAAATATTCACCGCAGTATAAAGCCTTTATTTTTATTTCATTCGATTATCTCTGATACAGTTTAATCATAATATTAATAACAAAGAATAAACATAAAGTAGTCATAGTGTTTAGACTAAATTATATTTAATTCTAAGCGATCGTTTTAAGCCATTACAATTTCGGTCGTGTCTTTTAATGGTTTCAAACGAAGCCCCATACCGATCGCCTATTCTGCAAAAAAATTGAAAGCCTTAATTTAGCCGGTTGTTAATTCGTGCGCGACCGATTCAAAGGCTCCGACGGCTATTATTAAGAGCGTAAATTGTCAAGCAGATGTAGCCAACGACTAGTAATGGTGCGTAAAAAAGCAACGAAAATTGGTGAATATTTCGGACCGTTTCGGATTTAGTTTTGCAAGCTTTACGGATTAACGGCTAACAAACATAGATTCGGCCAATTTATTCATGGATGGGAGCGGAGGGATCAAAATTCATAACAACGGGCATTTTCGCTTTGAAAATATTTTACCAAAATATAATTTTATTCCATTAGACATGCAGACAATTAAGCTCTTGTGAAAATACTATATACTAGAGAGCTGTAGATTATCACAAAACAATTACATACTATTATATGTCCTGGCAGACTAATCGATTTATCAAAGCGTAGATTAAAGTAGCAATTTTGACAGTGTATTCAAAAAATAAGCAGAATACCAGCCAGATGGTCAGATCTAGTAAGGGAAGCACTTGGTCGTAGTCTGTGCCATGCTGTCCATGCCACCCATGATCGAACACAGTGGAAGAACGTCACATGTGGTCGCGATCCTCAGCAGTAAGGGAACGATATAGAATATATATTCAAAAAATGACGTAAGCGAGATTTTCGGATTACTTTCAAAATGTTAAGACTATGTTGTAGATTTATTCAAATATTTTAAATAGCACAGTACTAAGCTGTGTGTCTTGTATTCCATCAAGGCGTAGTTTCAGTCGTCATTTAAACGAGTTGGATAGTAGTGCCCGTGGCTTGGTCCTGCCCTGGGGAGTCTACGCGAGTCTCATTCTGATGGACCGGTTTGTTTTGAATTAAAATGTCTTTTCTGCACGCTCCTTTGACGAAACGAGTATGCGAAGTAGAACGAAGTCCCTTGAGACTTGAAAATGGAAACTTGAGGTTCATATCTCGATTTGCTTACGTCGAATTTTAAGTTAGATTTGTCAAAAGCATTTTCTGTAAGCTAGGTGAATGACCTCTAAGACAAACCATCTTCATATAATTAAATTATTGCGGCAGTTGTGGTAAATTTACACCTAAATAGGTGCGATGTTGTTTAGTTAAATAAAAAAAAAACATCGTTGCTAAATTTTTCCGAAACTATTTGTTTGCAAATACCAAAATGACTCGTCCGTACTAGAAAATTTTAAATTAAGCTCCCTAAATCAACAACAGCGTTTGTTAAAATGTTTTTTTTAAACGTAGATTACAAAGGCTTCTTTCCCTTACATTTTACGTACTTTATTCTTAAAAGTATGATTTGGCTTGGAAAGTAAAAAAGTGTGTATTGCAAAGTCAAACAGTAGTTTTAAAAATATACATATAAAGTAGAAATAAATTTATAATTGAAAATAAATATATTAGTAAAATGCTCAAAACAATTATCTCTAACATTGTTTCACAACAGACTATCAGAAATAGATAGACTATTGACAGTTTAATTTTGGTAAAAGCTGAATGTAAAAGTCATCATGAATGATTGCATTTTTACCTCTCAATAAATTCAAAATTTCCATTTGGCATGCTCATCGGAGATACCATTTGGCTTTAAGTGCTTTAATGATTTGTGCAAAAATTTCGACTTAGGAATGATTAATTCGTTCTGTATTCAGTGGATCATTATCAAAGATAGAATTCGTAATGAGAAAAGTTTTTATTTGTTTAGGTACTTCCTCCTTTGGAGAGTAATTTTGTATGAACGGCTATTGTTATTGAACATTAGATCAATAACTACAATCTTTTACTAAAAGTATTCATAATTAATCCTGTTTGGTACAAAAATATGAAAAGTAATACTAAAAACTATATTTAACTTCCGAAGGTAGACCGGTTCACGATCTAACTGGTGTTGAATTAAGATTTCGACTTCATGTCTTAAGATGAATGACGGCCTCCATTTTATTATATCTACAGAATATGAAATGAGAAATTAGCAACGGTGTCCATAAATAAAACCGTCAGCTAAGTTGTGACACGAAGTCTCGATTTTATAAAGTTGAAAGTTACCTCTTAACACATGTCTGCTACTTGATAAGATAGACGGAATAGTAAGAAAAGATCCGCGTGGGTAAATACACCTTGTATGGTGCAGTGGAGTGTGCCTGTAGGGATTGGGACAAAACAAAAAAAAAATTAATAAGCTATTTTGTGTGTAAATTTAAATATTTATTTCTCATATCACAGTGATATAAATATAGAAAAATAGGCCTCTTGAAATTCAATTAGTCATAATCCATCTTCTCCCAATCCATATGGAGATTTTCCAGCCGTTATTAAATAATAGTTTCCAGGTTTCCTACAAACAAAAAAACCGCGAATGAATAAAAATGTTTTCCGCTGAATTATATTCAATGTGCCTATAAAATTAACTTATAGTCAATTACTTTGGTCTTTTTTTAATAGTAATAATAATATAATGACCAATAAAAATAATAATATTATGTTCCGTGTCCTCATCCAAACCTTAATCTTTGATTTACAGCTGTAGAATTTAGAGCTTACTGCCACCGTCTTGCCTATTCCTGCCGCGAAGCAGTAATTCATTCCTGTTCCAGAGTAGGGTAGACACAAGAAAGGTAGGAGAATAAAAGTAGACAAAGCTCATCTCAAGGTGGATAATATTCAGGGTGCTTGTAAGCTTGTTCACTCAATTGGTAAGTTAAAAAAAAGTTGTGTTGCTTGATGATTTTAAAGTAGATTTTTTCCCCGAAAACAGGGGATTTTTGGATATAGAATATATATGCAAATAGGGGATATTTGATAATATTTTAGAATACGTACAAACAAAGAAGTATCGAACTACCGGATCGGCATCGCGACCCGCTGAGAAGAACCGGCAAGAAACTCAGCGGGCTGATGTATGGGTTAGGTTACACGTTAAACTCTTTGCCAAGCTTAACGAGCACGGTTACTAGGTTTCTTAAGCCTGCTCCTAGTGTTAGACTTACAAGTGTCTAATAATAGTGTCAGTTCGGATGCTTCTGTGAGGACGAATCGAGGGCGTCGAAGGTTTTGAGCTCCTACTTGAGCCGGAGTCAGGAAGTAGTCAGCGGCGGAAACGATGAAGCGATTATCATGACGACTATGGTGACCTTATCGAAGTACCGTTCCGACGCTAACTTCGGGTGTTTCAAGACCCAGATCGTCGTGTAGGTTGACGTTCCTTGCAAACCACATAAGTGTATTTACTCACGCTACGGGATTATAGGTCTCCAATCCTAAAACGTCAGCATTTCGTTCATCCTTCGAATAATTTTTCCATATTCTAAAGCTTGTAGCGTAACTACCAATCAGAGTTCCACGATATTTGTACGAGTCTATTAGGAGTTGCCAACATCGATGGTGACTGCATAAATCTGAAACATCAGATATGATAAGGGAAGTTTATCTCAGAAATAGGGTACGAGGTCTTTTTTTTATTGCGTATATGGAGGGCCGATCGTACAGCCAACATGGTATTAAGTGCCGCCGTAGATGCCGTCACCCACCTTGAGATATGAGTTCTAAGGTTTCAGTATAGTTACAACGACTGCCCCACCCTTCAAACCGAAACGCATTACTGCTTCACGGCAGAAATAGGCAGGTTGGTGGTACTGGACGTCTTATCCTTTAGGCCACGACGACTTCGAAACAGAGGAATTTCGAATCGAATCGTAAAGGATACGTATTAAAAAGTAGAGGAATAGCAAATGTCTTGTATAAAGTAGCTACCGGAGTCCATAGATATGACAAAGTGAATGCCTTAAACCACTTTGTAACATCAGGTCGAAGTCTGAATTGTATTTATTATATAACGGCTATCCCATCTTTCAAAATTGAAACGTATTAACGCATCTATATGCGGTGTAATGGTACTTACAATTGCCGGATAATGCACGGTACCAGCAGAGTATAGCTGTCATAGTTTATCTAAAAAAAATGTAAGCACCTGTCTGGATTAAAACTCCCAAATACCTTAAGTTAGTTAATTCATTTGAGATTTTTAATATGCGGGTATATCACTGTGTCACCTAAGAACGCACTATTTTATGATGCGTAAGCCGGAACGCACGAGAGGTGGAAAAAAAAAGATAGTCTGTGACACGACACCTTTTTACCGCCGAAAATACGAAAGACGAAAATAATAATAATGTGTTTAACTTAAAACTGTGTAAGCCGCTGCAACAATAAAACTCCAATTGTTTCAACTGTGATGTTAATTACGAGTGATCCAAAAACACGATTTTCACACGAAATAAAGAAGGGACTCTATACGGACTCCCTCATCACGATACTTGTTCTGATCTAATTATCCCAAATACCGTGTTTTTCTGCCATTAGAACGACAGAGTTGATAATCTAGCAAATACAGCTATTACCGATCAGCTATTACCATCTTTTTATGATTGTAACTAACAATCATAAATATAGAATATGTTTTCTTTCTTCAAATGTGAAAATGAATATTTATAGATCTATTATATTATATAACTAGGGTTATATTTTCTGTTAAGTTATTGGTGTAAAAATTTTCGCGTCGTTTCTTCTGTTTCCTTGAAACTGTTAGTTGTTGATATTTCAGGGAATGTTTCTGACATAGCCGTTAACGCGTGCAGGTTTTAAGAGATGTGTCGTATTTGATATTCGTTCGTTGTGTAAAGTTTTATGTTGACTAACCTTCGCTGGAGAATCTAGCATGGCGACCGGCTGGGCATCCAGGTTGTAAAACTGGCCCACGGTTTCTGTAGTTGGGCCAAAAATTCACAAGGCCAAGCTCTTTACTGCTGCCGTATTTACTCGGATCAGAATGTACTACTGACACGTAACGCGCAGAATTTGGGTTCAGTTTCATATGAGCAGGTTTCATATCAAACACTGCACTGGATGGATCCAATCCTGTAATCCTACAATGAATAAATATAGATAAGATATTTTCGAATTAAAGCAATAGTGTTGAAGTAAGTATAAGATATAAAAGAAAATATATTATATTGGTAATGTTTCAGAATTAATCTCAAGAGTTATTTTTTAGTATAAGTTCTGAGATATTGTTTCAGAAGATCTCGTTAGATCTTTTTTCTGGTTATTCGTGACCGAATAAACTGCTCTCCTAACTGTTTCTACCAAATATGCACAAATAACGCTTGAAGGAATATCCATAGAAATAGGCAGCCTTTAGTTTTTCTGCTGTCCATAAATCGTATAGGCTCTCTTCATTCTCTGTTGGTTTGATGCAGAACTTTTATCTACTATTTTACATGGAAATACTTTAGTCAACACTACTCTTTTTATGTTTATGTTGAAAATTAAATTTTTCATTCCAAATTATAACGTGATTTCTGAAATGTGCCAAAGTAACTCTATAATAAGGTAGGGTGGTGAAAATTTTAATTAAAACAAAACCTGACATCGGAGTTTAAATGTGACGGCGGATTATAACAACCATTCTGCCTAATTTCGTCTTTTTTTTTTTAATAGATAACTTTTAACTGATCATGCATGGTCTTCTGGCCTGAAATTAGGATTTTCTGTCTTATGAGGACATACATACTTACATACGTTCAAATATATACATTAATTGCCAATAAACACCCAGAGAAGGAGCAAACAAACCTGTTTGTCACACGAACGTTTCTCCGATGTGGGAATCGAACCCACGACCCTCGGCTCAACAGTCAGGGGCGCTAGCTACTGCACCACCGAGTAAGTCAAACGTTGGTCAAGTTGATTAATAATGTTACGCCGGTAAGAGTAACGCCATCTATCGCCGAATAGTCGAACGAATATCGAAGAATCCAGAATGCTCGAGAATTACAACGCCATCTATTGTCAGATAGCAGAAATTGCTACTAGAGAGGTGTGGAATATTCTCGATAATTCTAGGGATGAGGTATCGGCTATAAAAGCGTTGTAGAGATGGCACAAAAAAAAAAAAACCGCAATCAGTCAGTAATCGGAACTACTCCAAGCGAAACAGCGAACGGATCACCTGAAGCGAAGCGGAACAAGCGAATTGAGAGTTTTAAAGTGTTTGTGAAGTGTTTAAGTGTTTTAAGTGTTGAATACAGTTTTTAAGTTGTACTTTGGTGAAATTTTATTTATCACTAACCCCAGCGCGTAACAATAACTTATCGGATTGCTTACTGGTCTCATAGCTTTTTGTACTAGTTGCACCCGTTATGGTTTAAGGGTTAATATTTTATTCTAAAACAGCACTATACAATATTTGTAGACCTCAATGGCTCAATGGTTATTTTTCACTTACCTACTTACTTTGAACTTACCAAGGTAACTGGACCCCTCTCTCCGAAATCCTATTGCCAGCAATCCCGAAGATATGCGCTCCAAGAGAATGTCCAACTAAGTGGGTCTTTCCCAAATCTAGTCCCGTCTTTGACAAGTTCAACAGAGTTTCCGCAAACTCCGCCCCAACCTGGCGTTGTTAAAACAACTTAATTAGTAGAGTTTCAACGTAGTTTTTGTAACTGACGAAAAGTCAAATTTAGTAACGTCCAAGGCAATTAACTAACAAAATGTCGTGTTCGGAATTACAATGACAGGTTCGTTGAAAGTGTTTTCCCTTAAAACAAACACACGCTTTGGATTGTTCGTAACATGTTGTTAACTTTCCATTTGAGGTCCTAACTTAAAACTTTTATTTTATTGTATTGCAATGATTGGTGTTTGTACTCAGACTACCTGAAGTTACCGGTGGTAGTAGTGGCACGAGAGCACACTTTCAATTGTTTGTTGCAGCGGTAGAAAAAGGCAGGAAATTTGCGCGTAGGCTTACCTTCTGTCCTACCTATTACCAATATTTTTTTACTTCCTCAGACTAGCACTTTAGTTGAAAACTATTAAATTAAGAGGATTCTACGGTGGACATGGTCGAAGTCACGCTTCTGTTGTTAATACGGCTGCCCTCCCCTTACAACCGAACCGCGCTAATGATGGCCTACCAACACATACATACACATATATATATTTTAGTTTCAACCTACATTAGACATTCAAAATTTTTAAGACTATTTAATTACAATTAATTTTTAATAACATGTTACAACGTTTCATCTTTTGATTTGAATGTTCATCGAGTGACACTTAACAAAATTAAATGCCAATACTAACTAACCTTTATTGCGTTTGGTGCGGCCCAATTCAAGTATGAATTCACGAAGCTGGGATACACGTGGGCAGCGAGATGTTGCCAATTCAAAAGTATCACATTACTCTTGCCTTCTTCTATGAAGAAACCGACTACCGAAACTACCGCTAAACCTTCGGGAAAACCTAACGAAACAATATTTATGATGAACTTCTGAAAACTAAAAGAAACCACATGTACTTTTAACAAATTACCTGACACGTCTTCCTTACATTCAAATTTATCATGCGTCTTAAATGTATTTGCAAATAATTTCACAAATACCAGGTTTTTAGAATTATTTTGGGTATTAATTTTTTATATGCTAAGACTACGGCACCAAAATTTGTGAAATATTTTACTAACCTGTGAAACCGTGAGTAAAAATCACGGTTGGCTTACTGGGATCGTACCAACTGTATGAAAAAATTTTATGACCTTCTGACAAGGGCCATTCCTTATAATCGCTCCTTGAACTGAAATTTAAAAATAATGGTCCATTAATAGGAATAATTTAAAGCTCTTCATTATAACAACAAATTATGTGGGAACCTTACCCGAAATAATAACGCAATTTTGCGCCATCTTCATTGCTACTGTAACCTGTTTAATTCAATTAGGAATCATTAATCTAATAAAAAGCGATAACTTAGGATTACTTGGTGGTAGGACCTCTTGTGAGTCCGCACGGGTAGGTACCACCGCCCTGCCTATTTCTGCCGTGAAGCAGAAATGCGTTTCGGTTTGAAGGGTGGGGCAGACGCTGCAACTATACTGAGACCTTCGAACTTATCAAGGTGGGTGGCGCATTTACGTTGTAGATGTCTATGGGCTCCAGTAGCCACTTAATACCAGGTGGGCTGTGAGCTCGTCCACCTATGTAAGCAATAAAAAATAAAATAAAAATCGTAAGTTATTTCTAAAACCATAACCAAGTACATTTCTTTAGAGGTACAATTGCCGGTAATAAGTACTTAATGTTTTAAGTTCTGTATGTTTTCCGTAAATCTATTCTTAATATGGTATACATTGGGTACAGATGCAGAAACTATCGTTTATTTTAGACTATTAGCCTTTCTTTTTTTTTTCTAGCTAAACTGATAGCCTTAGGGGCTATTTCAGCGTAACCCTAACGTTTGTAGGTGATGTCACGGGGCTCAAACCTGATGACGTTGCTAACACGAACCCTAGCAAGAGCCGTGCTTCGCAGAATCTACCACTGGATCGGAAACGCGACCCACTGAGAAGATCCGGCGAGAAACTCAGTGGGCTGTGTCTGAAGAGTTAATTTACTCGTCGAGCCCTTCGTCACAAGCGACGGGTTCGACGAGAACGGTGACCGGTTAGAGTCTTATAAAGTTGTTCAATAAGCCAAGTAAATAAGCTAATATCTAATATTGGAATTGACGACATAATTGTTAAAGGCTTTCACGCAAAAAAATCTTTGCCTAAATAATTTTAAGATCGACTGGTTGTGGTGTTAATTAGCTTAAACCTGTTAGATTCGTAATGTTTGCTAATTTAAAACATTTTCAAACCGCTTTCTCTCTGATAGTTGTAAATTTGTATTGAAAGAGTTGTTATTCCGTTTTCTAGTTTTTTTATTGCTTAAATGGGTGGACGAGCTCACAGTCCGCCTGGTGTTAAGTGTTTACGGGAGCCCATAGACATCTACAAATTAAATGCGCCACCCACCTTGAGATATAAGTTCTAAGGCCTCAGTATAGTTACAACGGCTGCCGCACCCTTCAAACCGAAACGCATTACTGCTTCACGGCAGAAATAGGCGGGGTGGTGGTACCTACGCGTTCGGACTCACAAGAGGGCCTTTTCTAAATTATATACATTAAATAAAACGACCCATACTATATTATCATGGCTATGAAACTTCAAATCGGACAAATCAGAAGTGAAGTGCTAGCAACTTCGACGGGCTATACTAGCTTCACCGAACACGATTGTTCACGATTGACTTCCACGGTGAAGGAAGAACATCGTGTAGTAAAAATGAAACCCGCAAAAATTATAATTTGCGTAATTACTGGTGGTGCGGTAGGACATCTTGTGAGCCCGCATGGGTATCACCATCCTGCCTATTTCTGCCGTGAAGCAGTAATGCGTTTCGGTTTGAAGGGTGGGGCAGCCGTTGTACTGTAAAAACTGAGGCCTGAAACCCTGAAAACTCATTTTTCAAGGTGGGTGGCGGCATTTACGTTGCTGATGTCTATGGGCTCTGGAAACCATTTAACCACAGATGGGCCGTGAGTTCATCCAGTCATCTAAACAATGAATTAAAGAAAGGCGAGTTCGCGGGTCTCAACATGAGAGACTTTGTTAACATGAGTGCTAACACAAGACAGCAGCGCTTTCTGAATCGACCACCGGATCAGAGTCGAGACCCCCTAAGAAAAACCCGCAAAGTGGGCCATGACACAAGTGTCGATAAATCTACATATTATGAAACTATTTGTCGTTTTGTATGCTGTTTAATCGTTCATACTTCAAGGAAGATTTCCAATACAGAATCGCACGACGTACGACAGACAGTTCGCCCGAAAGTACTTTCAATGGTTTATTTTTTCTCAAACTATTTCGCTATAGTCACAGCGGAGTGTAATCGGGCTTTATTGTAGCCGTTATATTTTATTATTATTATTATATCTATAAATGTTCATTTTACATAAAATTAGAAATACATAATTCGACGCTTGAAAGGCAAACGTGACTAAGCGACAATGCGTGAACTTTACAGAAGACTAATTTAAAGTTGAAATTGATTTAAAATATACTTGCAAAATACCTGAAAAAAATTCTAATTTAACGAATCTAGCTGTAGGATTGAAATGATTTTAATAGACCTAGAAATATATTTTTTTGCGCATCGAATATGCTTATTGCCTATAATTTACGTACAAAGCAGTTATTGTCGCTTAGTCACGTTTGCCTTTCAAGCGTCGTATTATCAATTTATTGAACGGCACGCGGTTATCGTAACTAGATAAATTCTAGATCATAATGTTAAAGAAGCCCCTACCCGTACTCAACATCATAGTTTTTTTGTTTAATTCAAGCAAACCTTGACAGGCTTTTTCAAATCCTCAAAATCCTCATAAGTTTACAGTCTGAATGCCGTTTTATCACTCAAAAGCTTCGGCAAGAAACTCAGAGTACCTATGAAAACTATAAAATTACAAAGTTTCCTTTACTTTGGATACACCATATAATATACTTATCACATGAATAAAAAATGATAATAAAATGAAAATTTAAGTTTTCCTTTTATTACTACTATATTGGTATTGATAGTAATTGGTGCTATATTAAAATTTTAACCAACCTTGATCGTCCGTGCTCTCGGAAATTGTAGGTAAGCTATTCGACACGTTTACCAGCGTTTTAATAACGTCTAAAGCTCCGAAAATACAGTTCAATTATGTTCTCATTAGTTTAAGTACGGATGATCGTTTCCAAAGCCAATAGGTCAATAAACTAATGCCCTAAAGTAAACGAAAATTAATATTTTTACCAAAAAAAGATAACGATAAATTCTTGTGTAGCTAGTCACAGAATAGAAGTTATTTGATAAAAACTTGAAACGCAATAGTAACATGTTATATGTTTTTTTTATTTATTGCTTAGATGGGTGGACAAGCTCACAGCCCACCGGTGTTAAGTGGTTACTGGAGCCCAGACATCTACAACGTAAATGCGCCACCTACCTTGAGATATAAGTTCTAAGGTCTCAGTATAGTTACAACGGCTGCCTCACCCGAAACGCATTACTGCTTTACGGCAGAAATAGACGGGGTGGTGGTACCTACCTGTGCGGACTCACAAGAGGACCTACCACCAGTAATCTTGGATGCTTAATATTCAAGCTCCGAAGAACGACTTCCGAACCCGCTCGGTGGAAGATCTTCCCTAAAGAACGCTGATCCACATTTAATTAGTTTTAATTGTGTTTCCCCACATGTATAAAAAATGGTGCGCGTGCAACTTAGTGCGCGTGAAAGAAGTGAAACTTCTTTTGCCGTGTGTAGTATTATGGTTTTCTTCATTTTTTCCGATTTCATAGAGCCGCACAAAGCGGAGACGGAGAATAGGGAGTGCTGTGTATAAGAAAAACGACCTGGCTCGCTTTGTCCTTTCCTTCTTTTTTTATGAATGAGGGATTACTGGTGGCCCTTAGGCTTCTCCATTTTCACCAGAATAGGTGGGCGAGCATAGGCTCAGCCAGAAGGGATGGGATTTGCTAAAAGCTGCCCGAGCGGGAGGTAACAACTCAAGGGCAGCAGCTTCGCGAATGAATCTACTACCGGATCGGAATCGCGGCCCGCTAAGAAGATCATTATCCTTTCCCTCTCTCCACGGTCGAGTGATTTGCGAGACGCTTTGTCTATTTTCTCACTCTCGCTCTTCCTAAATAGTATATTTTGTCTCTAGCCATAACGAATCTGTAGCGAGTTAAATTTTACTCTGAATGCACCTAAAGAAGTTTCACTTCAAAAACAATCGAGAAGTAGCCTGTTATGCCGTGATTTCTAAATGTACTGAATTGTAAATGTAACGAAGTAATTAAAAGCACGAACCAGTTAGGCAGCTTTTTTTTATTTTTCTTTCTGTCTTATTTTTGACAATAGGTGTTTTTTTTGACAATTTGTCCCATTTTAAATGAAATGTTAATTTGTAGATTGTTCATTCGGCAATTAATTCTCGAATGCAGTGAAAGCGGGCTAGTTTAAAATGTTTATAATTAGTAGGAAACAATGAATTTAACATTTGAATGTGTGTATTTTTTTATTATAATTTTAACAGTCTACGTACAGTAATTGTTTTAACACGTATATAGTTAACTAGCGGCCCGCTCCGGCTCCCCTCGGGTCTTTAACAAAAATTTCAACGACATTTGACGTTGTTTTTTTTTTTTTTTAAATTAAAGAACACTTATTACGGCATAACTTACAAAGTCGTAGTACATTATTTTATTCTATCATCAATACTTTTCGCAGGGCACGCGATGTAAGGAATATTTTAGGTATTTTTTTTACTTTGGGTTACATTATTGGAGTTTTAGTAAGGATCCCTTGTTTTTTTTCAAAAAAGATTATAGCCTATATCACTCGGAAATAGTGTAGCTTCCAAACGGTGACAGAAATCGGTTCAGTAGTTTCGGAGCCTATTCAATACAAACAAACAAACAAATCTTTCCTCTTTATAATATTAGTATAGAAGTATAGATTTGAACTTACAGACGTACCATCTTAAGTTTGATAAAATAAAAAGCTCATTATTTGTGTCAACATCGTTTCATTTTAACAACTGGAAATGTACTTGTATTTATAAAAAAAAGCCCTCTACTAGGTAATATAAGTGATAAAAGTTATTGTACATCCGGTTACAATTTCAAGTCGGGGAATTAGTTGAAAAAGTGAAATCCCAGCCAAGAAATGTCGTAAAACAAGAGTAAATATTCAAAGCGGAAACCAAAGTACGCGAGCCGAATTCTAAACGTCAAAATTACACTTCAAAACAACCACGTACATGAATCAGGAATGTATGATTTTAAAAACTGTTTAGGTGGCTAAAATGAACATAGAACTGACAGCCTATTTATTAGTAAAACGAGTGAACAAGCTGTTGCGTTGTAGTGAATGAGAGTGGACTGTATTATTAGTTTGATATTTTTATTAGTTCATAAGTGACAAATTAAAGATATATATAAGAAATATGAAATAGATGTGTCGCCCTTGGCGGCTGGAAATGAAAAGGGGTAAGGCGTCATAGCGGACGTCGCTCGTTGACACTTTTGACGTTCCGAATTCAAACACAAGCTCACGGCCCAACTGGTGTTAAAAGGTTATTGGAGTCAGTGGACATTAACAACGTTAATGCCGCAATCCACCATAAGACAAAAGATATAAATCTGTTCTATAGTATAACGGCTGCATCATCCTTCAAACCAGAACGCATTACTGGTTTGCGGCAGAAATAGGCAGGGTGGTAGTACTTAATCGTGCGGGCTCACAAGATCCACTTCTACCAGTCATTTATAATTGTTGTAAAGTGCCTGCTTGCTGCCTATAGATACAAGACTATAAATGCTCTTAAATACTCCCGTTGATAATTTTTGATTAATGCCAGTTGAGATTGAAAAAAAATTGCTATTTCTCAAAACTCAAACTCAAAACCTTTTTTCACAGCTTCTTCATTTATATTCAAAACAAGTGGCAGTTTCCAAGTAACGAAAATAAAATATTAAATAACCCTTTATATGTGACCTATTAAGATACGGTGATAATGATATTGCTGGGACAGATAAAATTACTTTCGTAAATAAAATAATAGAATGGATTAGGTTACTGCTACTTACCATTCCACGAGTGATTATATCCGAAGCTGTGGAGGTATGACGAAGGCAAATGAAGTGTTTCATTTTCATTGTCTAATGTCCAATCTTCTATGTAGGCGCTTGGATCGAAGTAATCTGATGAGTGTACTCGACGACATGACATTAATTGCCATTGACCTTCATAATGTCAGAGAACAAAACGATTAAGAACTTAATATAGACATATTTAATGAAAAGGATAGGCCAGACGAGCTTTCGGACCCCATCATAGTTATCAGATATATCAATAGACATCAATCACACTATGAATGGACAACACACCTTCGCCGAGTCATTAGATAAAGACTTGGCTACATTGGTATTTAAACAAATATGTCTATTTCTCCCAAAAAGTAGTCATAAGTTCTAGTTTACCCCACCCGGGCTCAAACATTACACTATACAATGAAAACTAAGATCTCATGTACCACGGTGGCTAACGGATTCAGGTGGTGATGTCTATGAGCTTCGGTAACATAGCAACAGTTTGGCTGTTGTGAGCTTGTTTACCTAAAAAAAAATATAATGTCACAATGAATTTCCAAGAAAAATGATCAAAGCAAAGAAGCTGATTAGTTTAACATTTTTAATCTAATGTATATTGATGCTACATTGTGACGTACATAGTTCTCTCGCCAAACAATCCCGTTAATTATTAAAAAAAATACTTTTAAAATGAACCCAGAGATATTGAAAATTAGGGTCGATAATACCAACTCACCGCTCCCGACGAGGATAAAGAAGAAGGCGAAGACACCTGCGTTCATTTTGAAGCCTTTTCACTGATTGTCGTTTTGCCAAAGTTGTATTGTGTTTTATAGGAGGTAGTAGCGACGTCCTGTTTGTATCAGTTGCTTCGACAAATTAAAACATTACTTCAATAATTATTATCCATTCTTGTAAATATGAGGAATCCTTCGTAACACTTTTGAGTCAGTTTCGGTGTCAGTGAAAGTGACCTTTAGATGTTTTTGTTAATGACCGACCAGTTTCACTTTCTTTTAAATATAATTTCCGATTAAATTATGTTGAATTTAGATTGGACACAAACCAATTATATAAATTTACATGATTTGAGCAAATGGGTTTGTAATATTTTACATCATTTTCATTTCTTTGATTCCACATACGAAATAGATATGTGTCGTTCGTTCAATTTTAGAGATTCAGATCAGTACTGACCTGTTGACAAAATGATCCGGTTCGTACGACCCGTTCAGTCGAACGAACGACTAAGCGAGACGGGCGCGGGGCGAGACGTGGCAACCCGAAATGACCCGAATGACCGTCGTACTCGTATGGTTCTTTTCTTCTGATTCGTAGGTTTTGTGTTAAACGAGTCGATTTAGTGAACGACTCATATTTTTTGAAGTGACCCTATCGTTCGCGCGGAATTTGAGACCCGGGTCGTTTGACTCGTTCGTTCGCGAACGACACATATCTAATACGAAATGCACAGAGTCGATCTACACGTGTGCGTTATGCAAACTGAACAATTTGTTTCTATCTTAATCACAAAACTGAAATCCGGTTTGGTTATTGGGCATTTAGTTCGAAAATTCATCGCACACTCGTTTAAGAGGTCATTCGCTTATTTCAGAAAACATCGTCGCGGACATAATGCCGCTTGATTCATTACTCGTTCAGCTATGGTATGAGAATTGATTCAAACATACTACATACTTATTCTAACAAATAATATTCAGGAGGCACACTCGTGATGAAGAAACTCCCTCTCATACAGAGCCGCAATTTTTTTCTTTATTTAAATTGCTGGTGACAGATTGTATTTTAATTTGTCGGACATGATTAAAATTGCATTTAGTTTAGTTACGTTTAGACATCACACGACCCTATAATCTGTTCATTTATTAAGTGTATTTTAGTATATTGGTGTGTAAGAAGTAATGTACAATAGCTCTTCATAATGACCTACAATTAGAATCTATACGTAGATAAGTATCTGAAGACAGAACGCTTCTTTAGAAACGCTGTCTTATCGTGGCCGCGTCTAACTACGTGACCATCCAACCATTCACCACCACCTGCCACCATTCCCGTTGAATACGACGAAGAGTTCGAAGTGCATCCTAGCTCATAGACACAACCCACTGAGTTTCTCGCTGGATCTTTGGAGCGGGTCGCGATTCCGATCCGGTGGTAGATTCAACGAAGCACATCTCTTACTAGGCCTAGAGTTAGCAAATTTTCTCAGGTTGAGTCAGTGAGCTCACCTATGCGTCATAGTGTAACTGGTATAGGCCTTTACACCACCAACCAACGATTAGATAGGGTAAAAGTTTGTAAATTATGTACTGATTTACTTTACATAACGTCACTTGAAAGGCAAACGTGACTAAGCGATAATGCGTGAACTTTACAGTAGACTAATTTAAAGTTGAAATACCTGAAAAAAAAATATTTTAACGAATCTAGCTGTAGGATTGAAATTATTTTAATGGACCTAGAAATAATTTTTTTTGTGCATCGAATATGGTTATTGCCTATCATTTATGTATAAAGCAGTTATTGTAGCTTAGTCACGTTTGCCTTTCAAGCGTCGATATGTGTATATGGGCTTTTTACAATATATCTAAGAGGTGCCCTATTATGGACAAATATATTCTAACCAGTTAATTCAAAGTATGTATCTACACAAGAAGTCAGTTCTCATATAAGGACACGGACAATTATATTTACGTCACGAAGAGAAAGCTTCATATTGAGTATGTCATCCTGCTAGTGATGTCATTGTATTCTTAGTAATCACGGACGTGATATTTTGCCACTGTTTCTCATAATTCTGTAAGACTTATTACGTTTGGAAACGATTTCAAAATCTAAGAAATTAAGCTATAATTAATTGAATTGCCTCCGAATTGTCTAACATTGAATTTTCAAAATGTTCTGGTATGGTAGTTTCACGTTAAAATTAAGTATTTTAAATTATTTCATTACACAAACCATCGACATCCATCAACGTAAGAGGACAGTGATAAATAAAAACCATAAACTGCTTTAACATACTATTTTATTTTATATTAATATCCTTCGTAATCACGTAATATTATTTCGCTTACAACACTTAATTTGGAATGGTATAATATCTTTAACTTAAAAATAAATAAAAATCATAATTACACAGCTGTTCTCTATCATTCATCTTGCAGAATATATTGTGAATGATTTTTAATGCGACAAAGAGTTACGCGACTCTTTGGTTTCTCGACTTATTCCATATAACGAGACTTAAAATATTGTAAATTATAAAATAAAAGCGTGTATTTAATTTGAAAAAAGAATATTGTACAAGCTTTTGATTGGCCCTAAGCAAACAGTGTCAAACATGAGACGCTACAGTACGGGCCAGAAAATACATTAAACCCTATAAATCTTATAAACGTATTTGTTAATTTTTCATAATTAAAATCGTTATTTTGTACAAAATAATTCAGTGCCAACAACCGCGATAAACTATAATTAAGTTAATATACGAGAACTGAATATAAAAACAAATATAAATACTTACAATGATTCTAGTACTAGGTAAAACATAGATAACGACTTGCTAGTAATCCTAAATGGGACACAGATTATATTTTCACAAGTTTTTGTATTAATACATAATTATATAATAATAATAAACAATTAATATTGCACCAATTAATAAAATTAGAATATAAGTAAGAGGTAAAACAAAGTCGAAGGAAACAGTTAACTTAAGAGTAATTAGAAATAAGCATAGTAGAAACTGAGGTGGTATTTAAAGGAGATTTAGAATATAGGACAAGGTTACATTTAAGCTATTTATTCATTGGCGCAATACACAGGTACATAAAGACGTTCCTTCAGTGTAATCAGAAACAAATATCAAAACCGAGGCCCGATTACGGGGAAAGCGATCACTTAGAAATAATTAAGCCTGGAATTATTTCAAAGTTTTGTTATCCACGCAAAGATGCATGTTAATAAATAAAATTCAAACAGGAGAATTTGTTGAATTATATATGTATATATCAACTACTATATTCAAACTATATATATCTAAAAAAAAATCTTTGTATGTATTGTATGTATGCACACACAAATTCACTTCAAGCTAAATTATATTGATAGCGTTCCGAAAGAAGCTAGAGAAGCCCATGGTTATCATAAATACTATGTGAGCTCATTATTTGTCAAGTCATTTTACATCATTATTTCAATTTCGAGAATCGACATCCTTCATTCGTCCTTTCATAAATCATCATTACTTTCATCGTTTGGTTTACGTGCAAAACTCTTATAGTTAACAATCCAGTTGGGTCCCAAGTTTTATTATAACTATGTTACCGAACTGTGAAAAACGAATACGTACTATCCGGCAAGAATACAACCCTCAGGACCTGGCCTAGACTTTTAGCGGGAATCCGGCCCCCGCAAAACTTGGTAGCATACTACACGCGCAATGGAAGCACGCGGTCACCGACCTCTAGTTGCTCGAATCACAGAACGTCGAACAGCATTGATACGAAGCGCCTTAAGTGAATGTTAGTTCTGGAGACATTCAAGGCAACGCTTCAAATTAGATTTTCCTTTTTTTCATGAACTTGCACAAGTAGAGATCAGTGTCGGCGTTTCAATACTGACGATCGTCGTAAATGTAGATAGCCTCTCCGGCGGACTCCTTTAGCGGGGGCGGGGGCGGTGGGAAGTCGAGATCTCCTGGTCGGAACAGCTTGGACGCGTTGGGCGCCGGGGAGGCGGGCGCCGGCGAGCCACTCGGCGACCCCCCTCCGCGACGCTTCACCCCGCCCGGGGACGACGAAGCGCGGAATGATGACTTCCGAGCTAATCTGATAAATTACACAAAATAATTACGATTTTAATAAATACCACGGATATAGCTACGTCGCTATCAGCCATGATGCCTAGAACAGACTTAGGTCTATTTTCAAATTTGCTTTGAAGATTAAACTTTTTTATGTGGTCAAGTTTTGGTGTCTTGTGTCACTTAAGCGTAGATAGCAGGTACCAAAGTGGTCAAGTTTAAACAGTCGGCATCGTTGCGCCACTTTGTGAAGGCGGCACGACACGAAAACCCTCTTGTCGTGGCCGCCAGAAATTAAATACCCGATCCTGTGGACCGAATGGTAAGCAGTCGACGTCGCTCTAAAAGCGTCATTACAGATCCTCCCGATCCATTAACGGTGCTTTTAGGTACCTCAAGCACCGGTTTTTAGCCTAATAATTAATTTGAAGTACATATATACGTACTGACAATCGGTGGGGCACAAAAATATTGGAGTGGAGACCTCGTACTGGACGTCGTAACGTGGACAGACAACCAACGAGGTGAACCGATGACCTGGTCAAAGTGGTTGGTAAGAAATGCGAAAGGCAAGAGACCGAAGAGAATGGGGTGCATTCGAAGAGACCTACACTCAGCATTCGGTGGACACGGGTTGAAGAAGAGAGACATACTATAAATTGCTTATTATTCACTTTTCGGTAAATCTATACTAATACTAGCTGTACTCGTCCGCTTCGCTGGGCATTTAAAATTAACATTATTATTTCTCACTCCCACAAAGATTCTCATCATTAACGCCCCCGCAACTGGTGTAGGGAGTCCAAACTCATATAAATATTAGCCTATCCATTAAGTACATGTATTTTTACGTGGATACCAAGTTTCAAGTCAATCGATGCATGGTTCAGTAGTTATAACGGAACATCCGTAAACACCACTGTAGATTTACATGTTATTAGTATAGATATAAATCTAGAGTGGTTTTTTTATATGAGTGTTGGACCCCCTATACCAGTTGCGGGGGCTATAATGATGAGAATGTTTGTGGGGATGAGAAATAATAATGTTAATTTTAAATGCCTATTGAAGCAGGTGGGTACAGCTAGTACTATAATAAAAATACAATAATATTTAAATTTTTTAAGTTGAGCTTAAAAAATTTATCAGTACAAATATTTCTGTTTAGGTGGTGTCATTGTTAGCGGGCGGGGGCTACATCGAGCGCTCTCCGGTCCGCGGGCGCACGTCGTCCGGCGACTCGGTGCGGTCCACCTCCCCGCCGCCCCCCTCGCCCCCCTCGCCTGCAGTGTCCCCCGCGCCGGACACTCTTCCGTTACCCGCCGTCAAGGGTGTCGTGGAGAAGCACGACTCAGTAAGCTGGGTGCTTGAGATTGAAAAACTCCTGAAGAGGTCGCCTCTAGGTTTGTGAATTTCTTTTAAAACTCTCTTGGCTTAATCAATAAATAGATAATTTATGAATGAGATGTTAGTAATAAAAGTGTTGAATTGGTAACTCCCATCCAGTTCCGTATTGTAGATTTTTTAAATATAAGTCTTCGAAACATTATCGGTTGCATATAATAAGTCCACGTCACTGCGGGCCAGAGCCTGTTCAACAAATTCGTTTACAATCTTGACAACTTTTTTTTTTCATTCCCTACCTATGCAGATAGCCTTGACAGGCTATTTCAGCTTCACCCTAACGTGTAAGTGAGCTCACGGGCTCAAACCGGAATATTTACTGGCCCTAGCAAGAAAAATGCTTCGCAGAATCTACCACCGGATCGGAACGCGACCCACTGAG